TTTTTTTTACAAATATTAAATAATTATAGACATTTTAGATGATATGGCAAGTTACTTTGTCTTTTTTTGCTCCGTAACAGAAATAGTTTCAAGAGAAGCCACTGTAAAATGAACTGTTGTCTCTGAGCAACACACAGTAGTGGTGTTTCATTACTGAATGAAGCAGGGTTGATTCCAATCACTTGCACATAAAGACAGTTATTTGTCTCCATTTACTGGCATAACACCCAAAGAGAGATAATAGATTGTGAATATAGTCAAGATTGAAAGGGCTGCAGTACCTTTAGCTGTGACTATATTCTACAATACAGATTTAGCTAATTTCTTTTATAAAAATATTAAGCACACTTTTTAAGCAAATTCATTATTATTGTGATGTAGGCATTATGGTTCTACTCAGTATGTTAGGCACACGTGCCTAAGATTTATCTCACTGGCTCAAGGAGAAAGACTTCTGAAAGTTGAATCTTTGAGGACATTGACGATCACTTTTATAAAGTGATCAAGTACCTTTGAAGTTTGGAAGGAATGAATAATGCAATAAAGGTATTTCAAGGCAATCATTCACAAGTAGCTGTCAGGATCTTTTGATGTGACATCTTTCTGTATTAAACTTAAGCATTCTGAGTACTAGGTCCGCACAGATTACACTGATGCTTTTTATAGAGTGTTCAAACAACTCAAGAGGATGATAGCAGAGTTTTCTTCTCTTTTTCTCTTTCTACGAGCAAAAACAGTTGGCTACTGATCAGTCCTTTTTATCAAGAGTTACACTGTTTTGTGGTGGCTAACGGAAACAAAAAACGAACAAACAAACAATTAAAAAACAGCTTATATATATACTAATCACAAAAACAAAAGGTGTTAATGAAAATTATGAAACCCAAGCAAAATCCCAAACAAGCAAAGTCATGGAAGCAAACTTTTTGTCAGTTTTACTAGAGAATATTATTTCTGGACATTAGTGTTGCTTGTTTGGTCCACCATGTAATCTAAAAAGTAATTAAAAGAAAATTTTGCGCATCTGTTTTGTATGGAAGCCCGTTTCCGCCACTAAATAAAAATATATAATTCTGTAAGTCATAATAATGAGAAACTTTCTCAAAATTATGACTTAGTATCTCGTTATAATGAGAAACTTTCTCGTAATAATGACTTATTTTCTCATAATAATGACTTAGTATCTCGTAATAATGGGAAACTTTCTCATAATAATGACTTAACCTAATCCAAAAAAAAATAATAAAAAAATTAAAAAAAAGACTTACTCGGCGCCTGCGGAACGCAAGAGTGACAGCACGCTAGCGCCATCTGTTGGTCAAAGCCATGCAGGAACACCGCTAACATTGCTTTGTTCTGTAATCTAAAGTGTATCATGCTATAGTCTGTCATTAAATAACGATTTCAGATCAATTATCTGTATGTAGTCTTTTGTGTAATAGTTACTCTGCCAGATAGTTATGGCTTCAAACATTCCAGACCAATATTTCAGTTAAGAAATCCAGGCATTTTATGAAGAAATGAAAGCCATTACACATATAAACTTAATTTATAGATGTGTATTTCGATGATTTATTAGTTTTATTAGCGGTCCCTTTCATGCATCACATGCAAATGACTTACAGAATTATATTTTTTTATTCAGTGGCGGAAACGGGCTTCCATAGTTTTGCACACAAAATATAAAAAATAGTCATACATTTATTTTTTTATTATTTTTTTTTTATTTCTTTTTTATGAGTGATTTACCTTTTCCCAATTATGCCTTTTATATTATATTGGATCTTTCACAGTTAATCAGAGACACATTTCATATTTTAAAGGGGTCATATGATGCTATTTTAAAGATCATTAAAATCGCATCATATGACCCCTTTAATGCATTGTGATAATTTTAAAGCCACAGTACTCTATTTCCAAGGCTAGTAATAAAAATATTGACAAAAATGTCTTTAAAACAAATCCAAAGTCTTAACATGACACATAAATTTACATGACAGATAAATACACTAACTTACATAGACTTAATCTAATAAGCAATTTCAGTCTTAGCTGATCATCTTTGGCAGCTTCTGTAATGATGCGCTAATGTTCTTCTGAATACATTTTAAAGCAAGTCACTATAGTTGAGCTATATCTGATCTGTTAGCCTTACATTTACTTTTAACAGACATAAAATGCTCAGTCTTACTAATATCCCTCCTCCTATTACTCTTTGCTCTTTAGCTTATTTCATACTGTAAGTGTTTTGTTTGTAGTTAGTATGCTTCCAGATTTAGTCATTATTAATATGATTATTTGCACAGGTAATACTGTATTTAGCACTGAAGAATCACATTGCTCTTTGCACATCAGTGTTTTTTTTTTGACAGAAGGATGACCTGAAGCTATTCAAACTCAATTACACCATAAATCATCCATCAAAGGGCACAAAAGGCAAAAGAGAAGAACAATGAAAGCTGATATAACGCCAGGTCCCTGAATGTACCTCTTTAATTCAATTACTGTTTTTCTAGAAGTACAGTTTAAATTCAGAGCAGCTGTGCACATGCTACTGTACTGACTCCTGATTGATGAATATTATCATGAAATCACTGACCCCTCTTCAGGAATATAGGTAGTTGTTTTCAGATGCCAGCCGTCATGTTTTTAGTCATTCATACACTGCATAGGGTTTTTTTTTTTTTTAAATATATTTTTATGGAGATTACAGGGGAGAATCTCCATTTGTATGTACCAATTGGAATTATTAGCTATATTTAATTTGGGTACAGAAGTCATGTAACATTTACATATCAATGACTGAAAACCACCATTATAAAACTGATAGTTCTGGTCCTTGATTCTGATTGGCTGAGCCACGTTCGAAGCTGTTGTAAATTACTCTACAAACATACACCTTTGTTTACGCTTGTCTGTTGCTTGGCAACCACTTTGTTGCAACCACAACTGATTCTGAGGAACTACATTGTTTGGTGGAAGAATACTGTTTTTATTAATATCATTACACTTTATTTGCACTGTTTTATTTTGTGAACCCATACTACGTATATGGAATAACCGTTTTATAAAAGCAATAAGCCCTGTGAAGCCGTGATTTACAGTGAATTTATCCACTTCGCGTCGTGCCTAACAACTCCCCTTAGCTGTTATAAATTCACTGTAAACCACGGCTTCTTGGGGTTTATTGCTTTATTTTAAAATTCCCTGATATTCCTATATTGTAAATTTGCTAATGTAATGGTAAAGTGTGTGATTTTGTTGATATTAAAAAATGTCATTTGTGGGTCAGTTCGCGCAACAAATGTAAATAAACACTGTTGATCAGTGTGGCACTATCGTAACTTAGTTTGCTCTGTTTTTTTTCGAGAATCACAAAACAGCATCCTGGAATCAATCAATTGCGTGATTTGGGGGAGGGACTATCGGTTTGTCTGACCAATGGGAGACTGGGTAGGCCTGAAACGTATTTGAGAATCATTTTGCAATTCGGTTCGGTGATGCTAGTGGTGCAGAAACTACAGCTTCACCACTATGTTTTCACATTATAGTTTTGGTTGTAAAGATAGAGAGAAAAATAAAGGAAAAAAAATGTATTCCCTGATATTCCTATATTGTAAATTTGCTAATGTAATGGTAACGTGTGTGATTTTGTTGATATTAAAAAATGTCATTTGTGGGTCAGTTCGCGCAACAAATGTAAATAAACACTGTTGATCAGTGTGGCACTATCGTAACTTAGTTTGCTCTGTTTTTTTTCGAGAATCACAAAACAGCATCCTGGAATCAATCAATTGCGTGATTTGGGGGAGGGACTATCGGTTTGTCTGACCAATGGGAGACTGGGTAGGCCTGAAACGTATTTGAGAATCATTTTGCAATTCGGTTCGGTGATGCTAGTGGTGCAGAAACTACAGCTTCACCACTATGTTTTCACATTATAGTTTTGGTTGTAAAGATAGAGAGAAAAATAAAGGAAAAAAATGTACTAATATACTGCACTCTCTGAGTGATACACAGAGACAGACTGGCCTTTTTCTCTTCACCCATAGCCATTGAAAAGTTTTTTTTTTCATTAAAAATGTGTACTAAAACTGTGGATTTCTGTAGCCCTATGTACAACAAAACCCTCTCTTCAGAATCAAATTGTTTCCTTACCCCTTTATGAGCTCTACTTCATGCACTAATATTTTTATCACAAAAAGTAATTTCCTACCTCAGGCCATTAGTTCAGGGTCGCTAAATGCATGGCTGTTAACATCCAAGGCACTACACATGCAGGTGCTCATAGCCGTGTGTTGCTCATCAGGCAAGTTTCTGCTCCAGCAGCTGAATAATCACTTCTGCATGAGCCGTTCACATATGTACTAATATACTGCACTCTCTGAGTGATACACAGAGACAGACTGGCCTTTTTCTCTTCACCCATAGCCATTGAAAAGTTTTATTTTTCATTAAAAATGTGTACTAAAACTGTGGATTTCTGTAGCCCTATGTACAACAAAACCCTCTCTTCAGAATCAAATTGTTTCCTTACCCCTTTATGAGCTCTACTTCATGCACTAATATTTTTATCCCAAAAAGTAATTTCCTACCTCAGGCCATTAGTTCAGGGTCGCTAAATGCATGGCTGTTAACATCCAAGGCACTACACATGCAGGTGCTCATAGCCGTGTGTTGCTCATCAGGCAAGTTTCTGCTCCAGCAGCTGAATAATCACTTCTGCATGAGCCGTTCACATATAGCACCATGGCAACATCAGCTATTAAAGAAACTGCAAATCTCTATTCTAGATTTCGGCATCATTCTGTGAGCTTTAAACTACAAGATTTAGTAGAAGATCAACAAGACATGCTTCAAAAACCAAACATGCTTTACATCCAGTGACATTATGGCTTAAATGGTATGATTGATTGATTGAGTGGTTTTGAACTGAAATGATAAATCTTTGTTAGTTTGGGCAAAACTGAAACAGAGTAGATTATCTACTTGAAATGTAACCGATCATTTATTCCAAGTTTTACATAAATTATAAGTATGTTACACAGACGTGTAAGTTCTGAGTCTATTGTCATATATTTGAAGGGTTTTCAGGGACACAGACAGAACCGTAAAAACAATGGAAGCACGAGAAAAACTAAAGCAATCAAAACAAAGCCTGAGCATTACAGAACCACAAAACCTGAACACATTTCAGCACAGAAACTTTAAATATGAAGAATGCAACAAGCTTTTGCACATACAGCACAAAAAAAGTGTGACTGAGGAATCACACAGATGTGATTCATACAAACAGTAAACAATTATCAATTTTAATACAATACTGTCCAGAATCTGTTATATCGATGAAAAGCACCTCAAAATAGTTGTTTCTGCTTTAGATCTAGAAGGGGTAATTATAGCAATCACAAAATAACCAAACAAAAGTTTAACAAATAGTCTTTTTTATTTTAAAATTCCCTGCCTCAAATATATAAACTTGATTTTCTAACCAAGGCTCTGTATGTACAGGGTTGAACATCTTTGAATTGGATACGTCTTTTAAGAGATTGAGGTATAGTGTCAAGAAATTCAATCTGACATCAAGTTACTTTTCATCAAGTTTCTTTAGCATTGTAGAGTCACTGATTACCACAGCATTATTGCTACCACTTGAGAACAAAAGAAAACTAGTGGAAGACCATTAATCCTTCACTACGTTAGACACGCCCATATATTACTGGACAAAAAAATATGGAAACTTCAAGTGCTTAAATTGGTCAATATTTACAAAATGGATACTTTATAATTACAAATCTGGATGGTTTGAAATGCTTGTTTTATTTTATAGTTGGCAGGGACACTTATTGATTGACATCTTGTGAAGAAATCTGTTGCACTGTTGGCTTTCAAACATGAAAACAACAACAACAACAAAATTCTAGAGAAAATACTCTTGATAGTTATCAATATTTCATCAAATCAATTTTGACGCACATGCAAGATTTAAAGGCAATCATTAAAGAACAGTATTGTACAAAATAATAATTACAGTTTTACCAAAAAAATGCACTTTCAATAGCACCTTAAGTGTTTGGGTGTTTACAACAAGAGCACACCACTGTGGTTGTCTTGCTCAGGGCAGCACCTGGAGGAGGATCTGTAATGTATACAGGGAAAACGGGAAGGAATGGGATTGGGAATTAATTGGATTGGAGCTTGGGGAAGGACTGGGATCAGGAGTAAATGGTGCTGGGATTAAAGTTGGAATAGGACAAACAACAAGGCTTAAGAGTTCAAGTGGAGAAAAAAAAAAACAAGTTTGGAAAATTGGTAAAGGAATGGGTCCTCCTCCTTCTCCTGAAAGTGCGCCATTGTCCACCAGGTAGTTCGTGTCCTCTTTCTGGTTTATTCCAATTGCAGGTTTCAGTCGTTTGATGAATATTCCATTTCCGATTACACAGTGCGGGTGCTGGTGTGTGTGTTTGTGGCGCAAGGAGGGGGTCTGTTTGGCTGGCCACACTCCTTGACCTTTGCCATAAAGGTAAGAGGGGGTGTCCTTCAGCCGAGGAAGCAGACAGGGCCTACCTCAAAGCCAAACCTTTGACTGGATTCCCCAAAGTCATTCAACATGACATCGATGATAGGCACCTGGTCGATGCGAGGAGTATTAATTTCCATCACAGACTTCGAATATCCCTGCTTCAGCTGAAAGAGGAAGAGATGAATTGTGTTATAAACTGTTTAAGCAGAATTAAACAACTGTTAGTTCTGATCATCTAATTTGACTGGACAAGCGGCAAGGTTCACTGGGGTTTCACAGTTTGTATGACTTGTTACTGTTAATGACAGCTATTAAAAATAAGTTACATTAATAGAAATAAAACTGAAATAAAATTAAATATAAATATTAGATGAATAACCTAAAACTTGGCAACTTATTCAAAATAAGTACTAAAAGTATTAAAACTGAAAATAAAAAAATTATTATAATAAATCCAAGTAAAAAATAAAAATAAATGGTGAAATATGAATAAATACTATGTGAAGAGTGAAGAGAATATTCAATACAAACATTATTCTTGCTGTTATAATGTGATGTTGCTTTATTAACATACAGTATGAATATACAATATGTGATCCTGGACCACAAAACCAGTCTTAAGTCGCTGGGGTATATTTGTAGCAATAGCCAAAAATACACTGTATGGGTCAAAATGATACATTTTTCTTTTATGCCAAAAATCATTAGATATTAAGTAAAGATCATGCTCCATGAAGATATTATGTACATTTCCTACCGTAAATATACCAAAACGTAATTTTTGATTATTAATATGCATTGCTAAGGACTTAATCTGGACAGATTTAAAGGTGATTTTCTCAATATTTATTTATTTTTTTGCACCCTCAGATTCCAGATTTTCAAATAGTTGTATCTCGGCCAAATATTGTCCATACATCAATGGGAAGCTTATTTATGCACCTTTCAGGTGATGTATAAATCTCAATTTCGAAAAATTGACCCTTATGACTGGTTTTGTGATCCAGGGTCATATATATATCAGTACATTTTGGATATTAGAGTTTATTTTTTATTTTTTAATAAATCTATTGGTACCTGCCAATAATAGATGTTTAATTGTACAGCTCATTTCCTCCATTTTTACATTTAGTTCACCTTTGCCCTCATCTAATGTTCACTTTAATCAAGTTAATCTTTAATTTCTTTCAAGTTAGTCTTTAAAAGTACACATTTTTAAAGTAGTTAAATGTAATTAAAATATCTCAAAATGAATATCCACTTTTTCCTACTTTACGTTAAAATGTTATGATGCCAAAATTAACATAGCATTTAAAGCAACTTATTTTATTTACATTTTTGTACATATAGTTTCATTTATTTAGGCAAAATGCAGAATTTTAATATCTGCCAATTGTAACATTGGAGCATCTCTAATATACAGTACAGTATAACCAGCAGACTGAACAACAGCACTCTCACCGAGCAGCCATCTGAAAGAACCTTGATGAAGGGGTTGTTGTCATACGACATTTCCTCATCATTAGAGCCCAGGAAGCGCAGCGCCTTGTCATAGTTGTCAGCCTTGGCGTCATACCAGGCCACAGACTGATGGCAAATGTATGTGAAGTTCTGCCGGGCAGAAGAGCTGAGCAACTTGAGGAACGTCATCTGGACTGAGGTTATTGAGCTCTCCTCAACATCCACATAAGACAACTGAGACACAGGGAATTGATGGGTCAAACATCTGGCCAAAAGAAGAACTTTCAAAAACTTTTCAAAGTATTGCAGGGATGGAAATCGTTAGGAATTGAATGGTTCTCGTTCCTTGATCTAGTTTACAATTCTTTTAGTACTTTTGAGAAAGAACCTTTTAATAATTAGTCCGTACATAAAAATACTAAGACTGGTTTAGTAAGCGATTTAAAATGACAACATGAATACAAACCTGATTTTAGTCTTTAAAAAAAAGACTAATTAATTTGCTAACTGAAGCACGGTGAAGTTACCATTCAGGTTGCATTGGCAGAAGAATGTGGACATTTAAGGACAGTTAAAAGAACCCAATATGGAAACCCAATAATAATTTATGAAAATAATCCATTTCCATTTTTTTTTTCCAAAAAACATTTTTCCCCACCAGCCCTAAACTACTATCACTCTTCAAGCAATAGAGACATTCATGACCAAATTGCTGAGCTATGATTCAAAGCTTATGAAGTTTATAATGCAAGAGAAAAATGGACACTTACAATTTTTCCACGCTTAAATTCACTGAACCAAGATCCTGGGGACTCCTTTGGCCAGTTTGATATTCTAACCTGGAACAAATGGGAACTGTGATCAAATGATTCCCTAAGATTTACACATTTTTGAGATTTTTCTTCATTTCATGAGATTTAGCAGAGACGAGTTCCTCTCACCCCTGAGGACTTTTTATCGGGGTAAATGCAAGTTTCTCCTCCTGCAGTGAAGTTACAGTACACTTTGAAGGCATCTCCCATGCATCCCATATTTGGATCGATCCAGTAATGTCCTGCAGTCAAAAACATGAATTTTAAAATTCTCTTTTTTGCCCCAGATAAAGAGAGATGTAACTCTCCAGATCTCTCTTCATCTCTATCTGTTTTATCTTCGATTATTAACTCTTGTTTACCTCAGACAGACTTAACTGACTCTTAACTGCCTTATCTATGCTAAAGTAACTTTCTCTCACCATCAGGGAAGTCTGGCTGGCTGAGCTGCAGGTCTTTGCAGGTTCTGGCTGGGTTATCCTGGGTCCCCAGTGGGAACTTCATGCGTTCAATGTCCTGCTTGAGGGTGTTGAGGGATCCAAACACATCCTCCATTCCCTCCATACCATAATCCATCATTCCCGCTGCTTCGTCATCCTGCATGTCAGGTGACCTCCGCGATTTTTTACTTGTCTGGATGGGGAGGGGCTGAATGATATCACCAGCTGGGCCCTAGTGATAGAAAATCAAAAAGAAATCACTGACAATTCTGTAGGGTCGGCTTCATTCCCATTGGAGACATAAGCATGTCAATTTGATTTTCAGCACAGCTCTCAAGACAATCTGATTTATTTTTATGCAATATAAGATTTTTCTTACAGGAGGACCTGGTGGTCCTATCAGGCCAGGGTCTCCCTTCTGGCCAGCTGAACCCTGGGGAAATAGAAAACACTCTTCATTAAAAAAAATAACCACCTCAATAACCATGTGCAATGGCGAGGTTCAGCACTTACAGTTGATCCTTTGGATCCTTTCTGTCCTTGTGTTCCCTGAAGATAGAGACAACGAGGAAGTCAATTAAGCAAATGTTATGGTGGTTAAATGTCATGTTTACATGCACAATGCTTAACTCGACTGTCACGACCAGAATAAGATTCCTGAAATCTGAATTTTGGGTCATGCACAGCACTTTTCTTTTAATGAATGTAAAAACATTCATATAATTAAAAAAAGAGATCATGAAAAAAAATCATGAAATTATTACATTACTGACCAAAATAATTACAATTCAGTGGAATAAATGGCAATAGTGGGTGAGCATCTTCAGGTTTGCCGAAAGAGAACAGTACCTGAGCAGCTTAATGATAACATATTGCGGAATATTCCTATTAGCTGTGGAGCATATAAATGTCTTTTCAGAATAAAAAGGTTTGAACAGAAAATAGAGTAAAACTGCTTACAGGAATACCAGGAGGACCTGGGGGACCGAGGGGACCAGAAGCACCAACGAGACCCTGCAGTCAATAAAACAATTCATATTTTCCAGAGCAAAACCAAAACATATTCTTAAATAACAGCATCTATGAGGAGCAGACAAAAGCACACCCAGATTCTGAACTGACTCAGGTGTATGTAAAGAGCACACATCACTCACAGCATCACCCTTGCCTCCACCAAGTCCCTGAGTTCCTTGCAGTCCTCGGTCACCCTTCTCTCCTTGCTCACCGGGAGGACCGATCAGACCAATCAGACCTGGATGACCCTGGACGAGTGAAACAAGTGGAACAATGGCATGCATTATTCAGTAAAAGAACAGATGCAAATCTCAATGTACAGGCTGAGACGGCAAACAATTTCTTTTATCATGTATTAAATAGAAGTTATTGTTCTGGATCTTTTGTTACCACAGTCCACAGTGTGTGCAATATAAATCTTATTTAAGGCGCAGAATCTGAGAGGTGCTCAAGTGCTTTAGTTTCTATTCAACACCTGATATTTACAGCCACAGCTACTGTATTTGCCTCTCCAGAATATTAATATTTCACATCTCAGCAGGTCTGCTCTCATAAAACAGATTTACAGATGTATACTGCATTGATTATGTATCGCAGGCAGAGTAACAGTTTAATTATTGTCTGACACTGTATTTAATCTACAGCACTAAGAGCTTGTTTATACCTTGTCATTATGTGAAATAGAGATGCCAGTGAGGCCTGTTGCTCTCACATCTTAAACTTTCAACTGAGCTCAGCATAATTGTAAATATACATAAACAGATTTAGGAAAGGAATATTTAAAGTGTAGAACCTCCTTGGAGACGTTTATGGCATATATATATAATTTATGTTTTTAAAATTTCTTAAGCTCAAAAAGGCAGAATTTTGAGTTTAAGAGAGCAATATTGTGATATATTACTGCACTTTAAATTGAATAGAAGAGTTTTCTATTTGAATATATTTTAAAATGTATTTTATTTCTGTGATGGCAAAGCTGAATTTTCTTCAGACATCTTAGTGCCATATGATCCTTCAGAAAACAATTTAATATGCTGATCTGGTAAAATAGACACACACACACACACACTTACATACATACACATACTATATATATATAACACACACACACACATGGATATCACAAGACATTTTCTTACTAAAATTATCTATTGACATGTTCCATTTGCCGTCTTTATTTTTGTGCTTTGGAAAAAGTACTAGTTAAATACTAGTTAAATCATACCTTCTCACCCTTAGTACCAGGGTCACCTTTCAAGCCAGGAAGACCAGGAGGACCCTAGAATGTCAAGACACATACATGTCACAATTGTCTTTATGCAAAAAACAAACAAACAAACAAACAAAAAGAAATATACAAGTGACATTCATCAGTTTAAACGAAAAACATAATGGTGCCTCATTGTGTCTTCTTACCAATGGTCCAGGAGGACCGTCTTGGCCAGCAGCTCCAGGTAGTCCCTGCTCACCCTGAGAGGGAAGACAGAATCCAGAAGCCCATTAATACATACTATAATAGCAAAAATTAATGCACGACACGTATACTCAAATCTACTGACTAGACAAGGAGAGTGATTCAACTTGAAAAGCTTAATTATTCAAATACTATTCTGCTCAGTTAATATAATTACGCAGCAATTTGAAATATATCAGAGTTTCCAAATGCATACCACAGGCCCCGGGATGCCACGTAAGCCTTCAGCTCCAGACTTTCCAGGAGGCCCCTGGGGGCCCACAGGCCCAGTTTTGCCCGCTGGTCCTTCAGCACCGGCCTCACCCTGTGTGATGAAAGTAAAATTAAGGGACAATATACTGGGGAAGAAAAAAATCATACATAAAAAAATACCCTGACAGGGCGAATGGGACCCGACATAAAATAGCTACTTATTAAACTGAAAAAGAAATTTAGGGGGAAAAAAAATAGATTTGAAACAACATTTGTAAAGGACATTCTACATATATCTAACATTTTTGGTCATTTAACTGACCTTTTCAATGCAAGTGTCCTAAAAAATCAACTATTATATCTATGTGAATGTGATAAGATGAACTGGATCAACAATTCATTTTGAAGAACAAAAGCTTTTAGGGGGAAAATATAGATTTCCTGTCACTTCCTCTGATTGAACCTGTAGTATAAGCTTAACTTGTTGTGGCATCCAATTAGGCTTTCTCATGCTCAGATCTTTCAATGAGGATTTTAAAAGTCAGGACCACTATGTGTTGTGAGAGATTGGATTCAACAGACAAAAGCATGGACAGATAACAAATCAAGCTTTGAGGAGGACAAACGATTTATGCTGCAATACAAATGACAATCATGTTGTTTGGTTGTTCAGGTGCTAGCTTAAATAACAGAAACTATCTTACCTTTGCGCCCTTCTCTCCTTGTCTGCCTTCTGTACCAGCTGGACCAACAGGACCCTTGAAGAGAGAAAAACAAAACTCAAAACCTTCTACAGCAGATATCTATAAAGAGTCATCAACAATTAAAAAAGTATTGCATCCAAAAGTACCATGGCAACAAGGTAGTGCACTTTCTTTTTTTATCAACAGGACAAAACATTTTTGTTCACGATATCTCACAGAAACCAAAACATACTCCGGAAACCACATATAAACACTTTTATACCTCTTATGTCTGTTATGACGTCTATGACTCAGAGGTTCTGCTATCATGTTTTAAGGGTGTTTATTATTTTTGAAGCGAAGGTATTAGCGATTGCAATGGCTAATGGCTTGGGCAGGCATCCAGGTATTTAGCATTACTGTCCACACATTTGTGAACACTATTAATATAATTATTCAGACAAATAGTAATTTGTGAAAGACTTAATGATGGTATTGTTTTCTCAGCATGGGAATGAACACAACACAAGTTTGAAATATGTTTCCCAGAAGTCCATGATCAATATGGGTGTGCACATTTAGATTCAAGACACACAGAAGGCCGAGGCCACTCAAAAGTTTTAAGGAAGGCGGGTGAAAATGGAAAGCCCTGAAATGCATTTTTATTGCTACTAACAGCTCTGCTGATACGAGAAAATAAAATTTTTCAGACTAAAAGCCTGACTTGGTCCCATATTGAAAACAGTCTTCATTTCTTTCCTGACATATATATGGCAATAAAACTCACTTTTAGAAAGCAACTGAAATGAAATTATCTCTGAAGTTATGAGTCAGCTACTGAAAACTAAACGTTTTCTGTGGTAAATACATCAGAAAATGTGTTAGAGCTAAAAGTGTAATCAATTGTAAGCAAAGTCTTGAGGACGACAACAAGAGCTGACAATGACAACTTAATTTCCTTTCGGCTATCACATTGCCGTCACAGTGCTGTCAATCAACCCACTTTGGTCAATATTCTATAATAGAACTGTCTAAATGTCAGCCTCAGCTCAACTGCTCTTAAACAATGCAAACTGATGTGAGAAGCCCAATTTTTCCCAAACAGGTTTTATGTTATGCTGAGATTTCACAGGAATGCCTTTTCCCAAGCAAAGCATGCACTCTTTACTCACTTGGGAACAATTTACTGAGGGAGGACCCAGTAAACTCCTGACTGTGCTCTGCTTTTAAAGATTTATTGTTTGTGCAGTTCAGATCTGTTAAAAATAAAATTAAATATAGGCTACTTTTAGCATGAAGTTACAAGGGAAGCTCATAAACCTATTTGAAAATGTGTGTCTCAGCAGATTATAGAAGGAACAACAAAGGGGTAATGCAAACAAGTACATTCTTAAATTTTTTTTAAAAGAACGAAAAGTGTTACACACCAAACATTTGGTACTTACAGTGGGGATGTTCATATATCTAACACTAAGTCTGAGCTGTTGGTTTAATAAGTTAGTTTACTACAATGATGCTACTAGTTTAACTATATTTATTTTCAGTAGCTTGACAGTAGAGATACTACTTTTAAAATAGTGTAGAATTTTTAAATTTTTCAACCAAGTAGCATAGTTGCTTAAAATATGAACTGCGATGTCCGACTGGCAAATTATTCACTCTTTAGAAACAAACAGTCCAACAACGCTGATACAAGAGCATGCGGCTCTTTCAGATGTACATGAAAAATGCAAAAAAACGTTTGTAACTATATCTACAGTCGGATCTCTGCACATTTTCTTTTAAAATAACCATTAGTCCATAACATATTGTACCCGTTTCATGGCACATCATAAAATAAATGTTTTAAAAATGTGTGCATTTCTAGATATAACCAGTCGCCCAACAATTGTCGGTCCACAGTTGTACTCCTGTAGGCATAACACATCTGAAATAATAGATCACCACCAGACAAATCCAAATTTTGAATTTATTTTTTTTACATTTTTTCTAATATTTCTAATATTTGGGCAGATACTTGGTACAGAGCATTTAAATTTAAAAGCATATTTAAAAATATATATATATTTATGTAATCAAATCAAATACAAATGAATAAGAAAGTGTCCCTTTAAGTAGCTTAAAAGTAGTTAGCTACTTTTTATTAGTAACTTGCAATGTAACTAACTTTTCAGATTGGTAGATAATTGTCTGTAGTTAAACTGTTTTAAAATTATGAGTAGCTTCTAACTTGGAAAGCTTTAACACTTTTAAAGTATCTTATCCAACACTGAACCAAATGAACAAAATGCCTGGTGAACAAAAGTACTTACTCGCTTTCCAGGGGGTCCTGGAGGACCAGCTTCACCAGATGGACCAGGTGGACCCTGTGGTGTAAAAATTCAATGCATTATTAGCAAGTTTCATTATGTTTGAACATAAAATATGATTTTCAGTGAAAGTCGACCATCACTCACAGGCTGACCGGCCTCTCCATCATCTCCCTTGTCTCCGGGAAGGCCATCCAGTCCCTGTGTGAAACAGGACATTACATCACAACATTACCATAATATTTCATTTCCATCAAGCATCATATTATAGTTTCCTCACAACATTTGTTTAATATGCTGGACATTAAGCCTGTAACTAACGACTATTTTGACAACTTGTTGATTACTTATTTGATTGATCTTCTACACCTTACGCAATGTTTTTCTTTAAACAATGTGCAATGAAGCCTGTAATATATGCTGAACACTGTGTGCAAAGAAAGGTTGTTTGAGTGGAAACCTGGGCGCATTAAACTACATGACTTTCTTTGAAATGTTTATATATAAAGTGCTTTGGAAAAGTGTTGCACACTTTTTCCCCTCGCTCTATTGCTTCCAGCATTTTAAAATGCATTTGTTCCCCACAGAAATAGTTATTTTACTGACGCAAAGCGAATTAATTCGCCTCCATAGTGAACTTACACCTGCTCCGGGCTCACCAGGAGGACCTGGATCTCCAGGGAAGCCAATAGGACCCTAAATTACAAAAGAAATTATGGATCAATTCAGTCATCATCAGTTCAGTATTATTTCAGTGTTATAGCTGAAGGGTGCTTTCTGGGATGTCACTGATGGTGACTTACTGGGTTTCCTTTGGGACCGTCATCTCCAGGGGGTCCTCTTGCACCAGCAGGTCCTGCAGCTCCAGGAGGGCCAGCTTCCCCTTTCTCTCCAAGCTCACCTTTGGGTCCCTATGGAAGGACACAACAACCATCAACATCCTGCTTTTATCCATCTATGATGATTATGCTAAACTAAATTAACTATGTAATTCAAAGCTGATGCTTTGTTGTTTTCAAGCCCGAAATGGAGATTTAATGTAAATATTTTGGCTAAAAAGACAATATAATGGTTACTTATTGCTTATTGGTTGCTAGGCCATTTTGGATGGTTGCACCATTCACGATTGAATAGCATTTCTGAATTTAAATTGAGGTAGCCAACAGGGTGAACTGCATTTCAAATTTGAATAAAAAAAAAGTAGACTTAAACTGAACTGAAGTTCATATCACTGCAACAAGTATAACATCATAACATCATAAGTGTAAAAAAAGATTGTCAAAACTAATGTTGAATGTAAACACCTAATGCAAGCAGAAAGCTACTATCCTCTTTAGTCTCAAAAAGCATTGAGACCAACAGACAAACATCAGCATTTAAGATGCTGATATCACATAAACAGGTTTGTGCAGCAGGCCGTGGTTGAAATAATGTCCCTGGGTGAAAAAGGATGATGATAGCAGCAACCATCTGGAATGCAAGTGATGTTCACCTCAGCATATACGAGAGAGGAAAATATTCACATGGCCATTCTAAAGCAGAGGGAGGTCAAATAATCAACTGCAAAGGACTGTAGCAGCCTTCAGCTGCCTGTGCTAATAACACGTGGTACTCTTGTGAATGCAGAGTGGAGAATGATCCGGAAGAGAAGAATTCTTGAACAAAGTCGTTTTTTTGTTTTCTTTATGCACAAAAAGTATTCTTGTAGCTTCATAAGATTATGGTTGTACCACAGATGTCACATGGACTATTTTATCGATGTCCTTACTACCTTTTTGGGCCTTGAACGTGGTAGTTCCGTTGCTGTCTATGCAGGGTCAGAAAACTCTTGGATTTCATCAAAATAGCTTAATTTGTGTTCCGAAGATGAACGAAGGTCTTACGGGTTTGGAACGACATGAGGGTATTGAGTATGAGGGTAGGAGTATTTAATGACGGAATTTTCATTTTTGGGTGAACTATCCCTTTAGAGGTCATTAGCTTTATGTGTTCCGAGTTAAAAACAAGGATTTGTGTAGTTATGCTCCTTGAATGTCAATAGATTAGCCTCAATTACACGCAGGCCAGATACGTCTGGTAAACACTCATAAAACCAGACTCAACAACTCTTAAACACAAACAAATACTTACTACTGAACCAGGTTCTCCTGGTGGTCCTGGATTGCCTGCCTCACCGGTCTCACCCTGAGGGGAAGAGAAGAAGTTTTACCTAGTCTTGATTACACTGTAACATCTATACACATTCATCATAATAACTACAATACATATTTGTGTACATTCACGTTTTTACAGAGATTTATTCGAGAAATACCCACCTTTTCACCATTTCCACCCATTGCACCAATACCTCCGGGAGGGCCAGGAGCACCCTGTCAATCAAATAACAATACTGTTGATTCAAATCTTTCTGATGGAGTTTCTATACAACTATGGCACAGTTAAACTCACATCCGCTCCACTAGGACCTTGAGGACCTCTGGGACCAGGAGGACCAGGTGGACCCTGTAAGAAAAAAAAACACCAGCTTGTCAAACAATTAAGATACTAAACTCTGGAAGATTCAACGGATGCATTCAAACCATATGTTGGTTAATCATTCTGACCTATTTATTACAAGAATCTGCACATCTTTTGTTTGTGAATCAGTGGCACTAGCACTAATAATACAAACCCAATTCCAAAAAAGTTGGGACACTGTACAAATTGTGAGTAAAAAAGAAATGGAGTAATTTACAAATCTATATGAAGGTGTGGTCACATTAGTGAAATTTCTGCAAAATCACAGGCAAAAAAGCTTGACTGTCCAATGTCAATATTGTTGCAATGCATGAAGCAGAAGTGGTAATTTTTTTTGTTGGTCAATGTGGTGAATTTGCACAAACAACTTGAACACGAGTGAATTCCCAGTTTCCATGAATTCCAACTGAAATGACTAGATTCCACAAGAAAATTGTTTAACAAGCAGCAGTAGATGTGACTGCACCTTACCTCAAAATAAAGATATACAGTGCATGTTTTATTTTGAGTAACTTTTACTTTTACTTCACTACATTCCAAAGCATAAGATCGTACTTGCTACTTCACTACATTTCATAAAACTTATCGTTACTCCTTATAATATATCACGTGCTCCGGGACACAGAAGCGGTGTCTGATTCATGAACGAACTGATTATTTTCAATGAACGCGTTAAATCAGTTCGCAAATCGCACCAAACTATTAATTCACAAATTGGAATGATCCGATCGCAGCTGTTCTCGAGTCGACAACTCACTGATTCAAATGATCCGTTTAGTGCGAGTCTCCAGTGAACTGTATTCACAAGTAAGAACCGGGAGAATTTGTGAGCGAGCGCGCGTCTGATGCTGTTAAAAGTAAGTTACTAATGTCAAATTTTTGGATTAATTATTGTAACTGAAAATCATATTTAGGTCAAAACTGGCAGTTGTTTGTGAACTAAATCTGCTGTAAAGGGTGATCTGTTTAAGCCCACTGAAATGCTTGAATGCAGACACATTAACATCAGAGTCTCTATGTTTTAAGTCAGAAAACATTAAAATAACACAGATTAAATAAAATAACTCATGCAAGTTCATCTTCTCTGCTGCTGTAATGCTAGCAGTTTTACTAAAATGCTATGCATTTAGCCCTATGTGACGTCTGTTATATTGTTTGTCAGCACACATAGCCTATGTATCTGGATCAACTAGCCGAGTAGACAAATATAAATGTTTATTCATAACCACGCTGAAAATAAGTCAATGTTAGCTGATGCTAACTGTCTAGCTAACGAGCTTGTTGGTACTAAATTTAGGTAATTTTTTAAAAACAAAGTCCAAATATTTTTATTCAACCACCTAGATAGATTACATCTGAGGGAAAAAGAAAGGATGTGATGTTCAGAACATGGTCAGAACATGGTAACTACAGTAATTATCAATGTGGGAAGTGATGCCCTCTGGGGGCACTCTGCCAGGGGTGTTTTTACACCACAGACAAGGTTTCAGAAGAAAAAAAAATCATTATGAAAATCTAATTAGATTTTCCTTATTATATTCATTATATTAATTATTTCCTTATTGGTTATTTTGGGAAAATCCCAGGTATTTTGAGCAGTAGGTTTATAAAAAAATATGATAATATAACATTAAATGATAAAAGTAGCCTATATAAAACTGCAAAATAAACATTAATCTATCTGTACTTTTTACTTAAGTACATCAAAAATCAAGTACTTTTGTACTTTCACTTGAGTAAAATTGAAAACTGAGTACTTTTACTGGAGTGATATTTTATTTTACGGATCTGTACTTTTACTCAAGTACTTGATTTGTGTACTTCGTCCACCACTGACAAGGATACTACAAACTCACCATTGGGCCGACGTCTCCATTCTCTCCTTTCTCACCTGGTGGTCCTGGCAAACCCTAGAGGAAAACAAGTTTAGCATATTAATCAGACACAACTCCAGTTTACATAAGAGTTGCCCTATTACAATTTCAAAAGTGCTAAAACCTTTAGTAGCAAGAGAGGATGCGTTAATGTTTCCTCTTACCCCATGAACAACGTGACAATTTAGAATAACAATCAGTCTCGCAGTGTTGAATATTAATATTACACATTTACAGCTCTGAGCCATCGGGTAAACACTATTAATCAAATAACAATTTTTGGTAATTAGCAGTAGAAGGAACCTCATGGCAATTAACACATTTGCATTTGGGTCCCTGCAAATGTGTCACACCCGGTGTCACTTTGAAAATATGAAACACAAAAAGAGGCAAAGCTTGGCAAGCAATTCATTTTGCAATATAACTGTGCTTGACTAAAGAGGTTTGAATGTTATTCAGATCATTATCACCAAACAATACCAATAGACGTCTCTCCATTGTTCATAGTCAACATCTGTAATTACAAGGCTATTCTGGGTCATTGTGTTTAGACATGCTCGTTGGTGCCCGCTGATGCATATTTTACTGCTTATTGTTGTGATAAATGTTGTGTTACTATAAAAGGACAGAAGGGATATTTCACAGCCATTTTGAGGGAAACAATTTTCCCAACTGCCAAAACAGCTTATACATTATCTTTACAGTGGGGTTTGAAAAGATAATGAAAAGTCTCCATTCTAATAAAGTCCAATTACTTCTCTTTAGCAAGTTATTCAAAACTTGAGAGAAAACTAATTAAGATGGTTAATTTCTTTGGATCAAAAATCATTATCGCGGAGGATCAGTGAGCAGTACTAACAAGGAGACGCAGAGCACAAACAGTTAGCACAGTTGGGATGAATCACTATTCCTATTACCTTTGATTACCAGTCAAATGCTCTGAGTGATTCTGTAATATTGCTATGTTGAGTAGCTGCCTCTGTTGCCATTTGAAAATCACCCCCTCATTATTCCCATAAAGGTGAAGGGTGTAATGTTTTTTGATGTTATAATAGTTTCTTAATACGCAGAGACAGCTACAGTACCAATTTGTACTGTAATAATTTGTAAAGATACAGTAAAAACAGCAATGTTGTGAAATACTATTACATTTAAAAATGTAAAATTAACAATACTCCAGTCTTCAGAGTCACATGATCCTTCAGAAATCATTCTAATATGTTGATTTGGTGTTCAAGAAACATTTCATATTATTATCAATGTTTAAAAACTTAACATTGCTTAATATTTTTATGGACTCATGATAAATTTTTTTTCATGATACTTTGATTAATGCAAATTTCAAAAGAACAGCTTTAGTTTAAAATAGAAATCTTGTGCAACATTATAAATGTCTTTACTGTCACTTTTCATCAATATAATGCATCCTTGGTGAATGAAAGTATTCATTTTTTACACTCATAAATAAACAAATAAATAAATAAATAAAAATATTCTAACCTCAAACGTTTGACTGGCAGTGTATAAGTAAACAAAGAAAACACAGTAATTTGTGTGGAAATCACATCATTGCATAGAATTAATTTGATTACATTTTTTAATCAAGTGACAATCCTAAAAATGTATGCATATAAAGAAAGAAGGTTCAATCAAGTGACTAAGATCTTTTAAGCAGCATTAACATCAGTATGTCATCTAATAGATTTAACGTCTCGCACGTTTCCAAATTTGTAATATCCTATTCAGTAGAAAAGCCAAACAGTTTCCACGAATGTTCTTCATATAACTGCACAGAATAGGTGTAATTATCAGCTTTTATAGAGCTAATGTATCAAGGAAACAGAGAGGCCCAGCTGGGAGTGTTCAGCTTGAGTCATAAACTTTAAATATTCAACTGTGTGCCACCTGGCCCTGACTACTTACTCTCACTGCTGCTTTATCAACTCAGCAGGCTGCCTGACAGAGGCAAAACTGAGCAAATATGAGACACTTTTATCCAAAGCAACTTATAGTGCAACTTAACACAAGGAGCAATGAAGACCAAACAATCAAGATGGCCCAATGCAAGACATTTTTGTCAAGTTGACATAGCTGTCACTTTCCCTATCAGGCCAGCAGTTACAGTGTTCTAATGATCTGGCCACATGCAAGTGTTGTTATGCCTTGCAAACATAAAACATTTGTTTAAATATTGTTTTAAGGTTAATGCATCTCCCTTTGCAAGATTTAAACCTACATCCTTTTAAATAACAACCCAGATCACTAACCACTAATCCACAACACCCTGTGCAAAAAGAAACAATGAAGTTAGGCTAAGAAAGCTTGAGCAGTGAAGATACTTTTTATGTGAGTAATAAAAATTATATATTTGTGTGACAACTACTCCAGGACGAATGGAAAAAAGAGGTGATCATTTGGGTTTCATCCTATACGGCTCAAATGGAAGGTTGTAAGTACTCACAGCAGGACCTGGAGCTCCAATTACACCCTGAGGACCTACTGGACCTGGTGGACCCTACAGCAAAAGACAACCGGGACAACTTTAGAGACTGGTTGTGAAGAAGCTAGAGCTCATATGAACATTTGAAGTGGCAAAGATAGCATTTGTTTGTGTAAAAATAGGCATAAGTGAGTGTAAATACAGCAAAAAGGTAAACAAATATTTATAATTAACATTAAATTATACATAAAATAAATGGCAACACTTTACAATAAGGTTCAATTTAGTTAACACACAATAGTTACATAAATTAACAATGACAAATACTTTAAAATCATTTATTCATCTTAGTTATCTTGGTCATTTCAACATTTACTAATACACTATTAAAACCAAAAGTAGATTTTTTTTCTGTTAAAATTATTATTTGATGGACCTGAGCTAACATGAACATAAATTGTTATATTTTTAATAATGTTAACAGATATTGATAAATACTGTAACAAATATATTATATATAAAACGTAGCAACAGTGGCATATGACTGATTTATAAGTACAAGCAAGTCAAAGCATTCAACTAATGGGACCTTATTATAAGGTGTTATACGTGTTACCAGTTAAATATATAATAATTATTTTGAATGTTTTATTTATAATAAATACTGTTCAACTTACATGTTCGCCTTTGTCACCCTTGCTTCCCTTTTGACCTGGTTCTCCAACTTCTCCCTGGAAAAAAAAAAGTTTTTGAAAATCAAGAAACTTCAAGCTGTTTACAACTTTTCCTTAGTTGCCTGGTCATCAAAAATTTCTCAAAGTCACTTCAGCATCAACAGCAGAGTAAACTTTACTCCAGAGATTTTAATTTAACAGTAAAACCAAGACCTTGGGATGTTTTTGCAATTAATTGATTACTTGGCTCCTCCAACACCATTGCCACCACAGCCGAAAAGAATAATGTAGCTTGGGACGTGATAAGGATCTAAAAAACACTATTCTACATTTAACAGGGCGATAATAGATTCTGGAATACATTAGCCTCAAAGCACGTTTGTTTACTTGGTGTATGTGCCTCGATTTCACTGGTTTCAACATTTCACTACAGTAATGATTTTGTGTCTTGTTTGGTTATGGTGATGGATAAGTCAAAACTCTGTCCGCATTCTCACTAATGGTGTGCAGAAGTGAGATGGGCATGATGCCTGTGAATTAAAATGTCATGCTGTAGAGATTAGAATTAAGTGCTGCACCTTGTCACCATCCTCTCCAGGTTGACCCTGAGGTCCGGCTGGGCCTGGGAGTCCGACTGGACCTTGGATGCCATCCCGGCCGGCAGGACCAGCAGGTCCTTTCTCACCCTGCATGAAGTTAAGAAATAACAGTTTACACACATGTCTGAAAGTGCTGATTAAGAAACTGTTACATCCTATGAGGAATACTTTAATCTGGTTAATACAGACAGGCTGAGCAAACAAAGCTAATGGCAGATCCACTGCAATTAATTAACAGCATTTATACACTATGCAGAGGAATATGTTCAGTATTATTATAGAACCTTTCAGTCAACTAATTCATTTCAGCTTTAACTGTGTGCTGTAAAAGTCTAAATGAACTGAATTGAGTTTCTGTTTGGATGCTGCATTAAACTAGATAAGCTATCTGTGCTAGATGTGTTTATTGAAAAGATGCATTTTAATGAACCAAAACTCTTTTCCTCTTGTTTCCCACAGGAATCTCCAGACATTAGTGCAACGCTTAATGTATCCAAGAATCTGATAAAAGCACAGTCACTATTTTACTTTCTTTAGGGTGAATTCGGGTAAATTAGGCCATGTTTTGCTATTCATCTCAACAAAAAGTGGCCCAGTTTACTTGAATTCACATTATTTTTTTTTTCTTATTCTTTTGGACAGTGTACAAGATAACATCAGCATTTTTCAGCATCTCTAAACAATGCGCACTCACCGGAGCACCCTTCTCTCCAGCAGGTCCTGGGGGTCCTTGAGGGCCATTGCGTCCTGTTAGACCAATGGGTCCTCCGGGTCCAGCTGCTCCTCTCTCTCCTGGTGACCCCTGTGACACACACATCTCATTAAATCGGACTGGAACACAACTGGATTCCAGGAGAGATTATTAACCAAATTAGATCATTCTGATTTAAAACAAATCATGTCTTGGGTTACCTAAAAAATGTAAACATAATTTTGCATATCCAATTTAACAATTGTCTGCAGTTCCACAAACAAACATAATTTGCTTGCAACAACAATTGCTCTTCTGTTGGGTGTGTTGATTCCATAATTTTTCTTTAAAGCGGTAATATGATGCTTACAAAAAGTGGCCCAGTTTACTTGAATTCACATTATTTTTTTTTTCTTATTCTTTTGGACAGTGTACAAGATAACATCAGCATTTTTTAAAATGTATCTCTAAACAATGCGCACTCACCGGAGCACCCTTCTCTCCAGCAGACACACACATTCACACTTTCAAATATAAATATTTATTGCATTTTATCTATTTAATGCCATAAACATCTGTATAATATACACTGCCATTCAAAAGTTTGGGATCAGTAAGATTTTTAATGATTTTTTTTAATGCAGTCTCTTATGCTCATCAATACTGTATTTATTTGATAAAAAATAAAGAGAAAAACAAAAACAAACAAAGAAAAAAACAAACAAACAGTAATACTGTGAAATGTCATTGCAATTTCTAATATTGGTTTCCCATTTTAATATTCTTTAAAATATATTTTTTTTCTGTGATGCAGCATTGAATTTTTATCAGCCATTACTTCAGTCTTCGGTGTCACATGATCCTATTTTGAATGAACACTGTTCTTTTTAACTTTTTATTTATCAAAGAGTCCTGAAAAAATGTACCACAGGTCCCAAAATGTTTTTTTTAATTAAATATTATAATGATTTCTGAAGGATCATGTGACACTGAAAACTGGAGTAATGATGCTGAAAATTCAGCGTTGCTTCCCAGGAATAAATAATATTTTAAAGTATATTCAAATATAAAACTGTTATTTGAAATTGCAATAATATTTCAAAAAAAATTTTTTTTTTCTGTATTTTTAATTAAATAAATGCAGCCTCGATGAGCATAAGCAATTTCTTTAAAAAACATAAAAAATCTTACAGATCCCAAACTTTTGAAAGACACTGTATATAGTTAATTAAATATTTTAGAGCTAAACAAATGATATTTAAAGTTCCATGACTTTTCCAGGCCTGGAAATGACAGTTCCAAATGTCACTGATATTTCCAGGTGCTCCGTGTCTGTGGGAACCGTGTTATTCGGTAGTTTGTTTAGGATCTGAGGAACATATTCCCATACAGATCCTTTTTCTGCACTGAACAACACTAAGGCACATTTGTGTATCACATTAATACATTTCTTTCTTAGAGTGTACCAGCAGGTCTTACTGACAGACAAAAGTTTATGAGAGAGCGAGCTCTCTAGTTCAAAACCAACATGTAGCATGCCTTTTTCAGAAACAGTCCATTAGAGCATCTATTAGCACTGAAGGATAAGCACTGAAGTGAGCTCTCAGAGCGAGGGCTTTATTCACCATTTACTTAAAGACATCCGGTTGCTTTCACATGCATGCACATACCCACACCCACAGAAACACATGCTAAAACTCACACACAACAACATCCGACTGCATTAGCCAGCAGTGATAGTGCTTCTATACATAGGGAGGGGTCAAGGTCACTGCACACCACACCGCACTACCAATACATTCTCACTCCCAACTCGTCAAATATTGACGCTTGGTCAGGACCCTTTGGCATAACTTTCTGACACACAGGGTATTCATTTAGCATTATTTTTTCGACGTGCAGCGTCCTCCATTGCTTTAAATAAGAACCCCTTACGCGAAAGGCACTGGGAATTTTATTGTCATGATTAAATTATATATTGGGTAATAATATTGCCATTATTGGATATATGTTGGGGTGTGATTTTTCCATGTAAACAGTCACAACATTTTTATTTGTGTATTTACACATTTATGAGTATGGAACCCAACCCCTAAACCTACCATTTGTCAATAAAACACAAGATATAACAGGCAGATACCACTACAGTCATAATTTATTCAACAAGTATTAATATTCCAAGTCTTCCGAGGCAAAACGATTGATTTGTGAGAGGAATAGATGCGATTGCCGTCTCGGTCCGCCGTAAAGCTCATCCTGTGTGCTGCAGTCTGTGCGCAAATTCAAAAAATGCCACCAGAAGAAGCCTTATGTCAGCCTTGGATGTGAAATGTGTGTCTTGTGTGTCTCGTGATGATTGCGGGATCATTTTCAGTGATTAAAACCTTAAGGCTTCAGAAGACTTGGAATGCAACACGACTTATTTGTAATGCTTTTATACTGCTTTTGAATGGTCAGTTTTTGCAATGAATACCTGTGACTGTACTTATATTTGCCTGATACGTGTTTTATATTGTTCAGAAGTGGGTAGGTTTAGGTGCTCCAATGAAAGTATACATTTATTTTAAATTATTTTTATTTTTTGCAAATGCATGCAAACCATTAAATTAAGACAAACAACTGAAAACAATGGAGGTCCCTGCACGTCGAAAAGGGACGCTAAAAAGATACCCCTGTGCATCGAAAAATGACACTAAAGGGGTACCTTGAGCGTCAAAAAGCATCGTCAAGGGGTCCTGACCTAGCGTCAATATGTGACGAGTTGGGAGTGAGAACGTGCAGGGCAGAACATTGTCTCAACATCTGCACGCATCTTAATTATAATTTTCAAAAAGTTTTTTTATATATTTTTAAAGGTACATATACAAATAATGAAGCATGAACAGTTTCTGCTCATTTCCAAAATGAACGGTCCACTGTCACCACAGACTGTGACCGTCATTCATCCTACTATCAAACTGACACAACACACAGCCCTGACTCACTTCTCATCTGATATACCACCTCTCAAACACACTGAGGCACACTGCACACTGTGCAAACTGACTCAGCTCTTTGTTAGAAACTTCTCAGAAGAGTTGTACTCTGCTGCCAGTGACTAAATTCAGGCACCTGCGGGAGGTCTATTTAGGCAAAGATAAGATGGCTGATTGGCGTGGGTGGGCCACTGACTCAAAATTTTTCTTGCCGGGCTGTACAGATGCTTTTTATACAAGAGAGACAATGAATCCGTACACCAATCTTCCTCAAGCTGAAAGGGGCTTCACATAGCGCACAGCTGAAGCTTTGATGGTTTTAAGCTGTACTGCTGTGCCTTCACTGCACTACGAGAGAAGACAGACAGCAGTTACTTTAATGGGAGGATGTTATTTCTATGCAGAATGGAAGATCTATTTTACTCTACATTCTATATGATCACAGGGTTGTCATCATACCAAAATTTCAGGAGTCAATAGCAAGAACAGTAAAACATAATTATTATCGATACAACTTTCAACACCACTTAATTCAACTATTGAACATGCTTCTTTAAATTCATAATAAAGTATTACATAAATGTTCAAGTAAAATTTAATCTACAATATTACAGCTAATAATACTTTAACACTATACTGTATGTATGCACGTGTGTATATATATATATATATGAATAAAAATCCTTGTGAAAAAATAATTATACTTATATTTATTTAAAATACATTTATTTCTTGCTAAGTGTACTACATTTACATATATTTATGTACTTAATAAAAATACCCTTAAGTTGTATTGCAAATACTAAATTGGTATACTTCAAGTCTGCTTAATTGGAACAAATTATTTTGTATTTAATGCACTTTAATTGTGTGGAAATAGCGCTGAAGTCCAATTAAAGATACACTGAAGTATATTTGATTGTGCTAAGTGGAACTTTTGTAAGTATACTTTAGGTACACTTTAATTATCTCACATTTAAAGGCCGATATTTTTCAAAGATCATATGATCCTCATCAACAGTGACATAAAAAAAATGTGCACTGTGCACAAGTAGCTCTCCAAATAAAGTTTATATATAATTTTTATATCAGTAAGTCTCGAGCAATATGTCAGTAAATATGTTAATAGATATAATATATAATATATAATATATTACTTTTTTACAAGGGTATACATAATGCTATTTTCTATTTTATTAATAGCAAAATATTTGTATTAGTAAAATATAAGTAATATAAATATTAAATTTTTATATTATTATTACAATATTTATACTTGAACTCTCTTTCTCTATACATATGCATAAATATAATAAGATATATTAAGATAATACATTTCATTAAACATTACACAATATAATTTTTACATTTTTAGAATAGAATATAATTGCATTCTAATAGAACAGAATTAATTACAGAACTGTTCTGAAGTTAAAATATTAAGTGGCAATATTAAATAAAAAATATGTTATACATTATGCACAATATATATAGCCCTTAATTTTTTTCACGTTTTATGTTGCTGCCTTATGTTAAACTGCTTTAAATTTACTTTTGTGCTGGTAGCAGCCTCATGCTGTGGGGCTGTTTTTTAGTGGCAGGGACTGAGGGACTCATCAGAGTAGAAGAAAAGCTCAATGCACCAACATATTGAGATAGCCTTAATGAAAACCTAGTCCAAAGCATTCAGAACCTCAAACTGGGCAGAAGGTTCACCTTCCAACAGGACAATGACCCTAAGCACACAGCAAGAGTGGCTTATAGACAACTCTGTGAATGTCCTTGAGTGGCCCAGCCAGAGCCTGAGCTTGAACCCAATCAAATATTTCTGGAGAAACCTGAAAATGTGCATCTGCCCCTATCCAGCCTGACAGAGCCTGAGAGGTGAAGAGGCGAGGAGAAGAATGGCAGATAATTGCGAAATACTGATGAGCAAAGCTTGTCATATCAAACAAAAAAGACTTGAGACTGAAAAGGCTAAAAGCTAAATATTTAGTTAAGGGTATGAATGTACTTATTTCATTTTTTTTATTTTTAATAAATCGAGGGGTGAGAACCAGAAAGGCATAAGAGACATTTCACCAACTTTACAGGAGAGCCAAAACAAATATTTTACCAAAGTTTGATCTGACTTTGTGTACTGATTTCAATTGTTTATGATAAAAATTTGTACACTCATGGATGACAGTACTTTTGCCAGTAGAAAAAGCTCATTAAGAGCTTTCATTTGATATATATATATATATATATACATTTCACCAAAAATGTCACGTATGCCCTTCTGGTTCTCACCCCTCGAAATTTACTAAGTTGTGACAATACTGTTTTTGCTTTGTCAGTATGGTGTATGGAGTGTAGATTGATGTGGAAAAAAGTAATTTAAAGCAGTTTAACATAAGGCAGCAACATAACAAAACGTGGAAAAAACAAAAGGGTATGAATACTTTTGCAAGGCACTGTATATATATATATATACACACACACATACTGTATATATAAATTATTTTGATATTTTTTAATATAAATATTAAAAAAAATAACAATAAAAAATATTTCTCATTTAAGTTGCTTGAAGAAATAAATATTTTTCTCTTTCCTTTTCAAGATTTTCATTATAGGCCTAATACACAGGTCCAATATTCTGACACTAAACATGTAATGTAAATGCTCCATTAGTATCCCGCCAAGTCAGACATTTTAATTGCGAAATACTGATGAGCAAAGCTTGTCATATCAAACAAAAAAGACTTGAGACTGAAAAGGCTAAAAGCTAAATATTTAGTTAAGGGTATGAATGTACTTATTTCATTTTTTTTATTTTTAATAAATCGAGGGGTGAGAACCAGAAAGGCATAAGAGACATTTCACCAACTTTACAGGAGAGCCAAAACAAATATTTTACCAAAGTTTGATCTGACTTTGTGTACTGATTTCAATTGTTTATGATAAAAATTTGTACACTCATGGATGACAGTACTTTTGCCAGTAGAAAAAGCTCATTAAGAGCTTTCATTTGATATATATATATATATATATACATTTCACCAAAAATGTCACGTATGCCCTTCTGGTTCTCACCCCTCGAAATTTACTAAGTTGTGACAATACTGTTTTTGCTTTGTCAGTATGGTGTATGGAGTGTAGATTGATGTGGAAAAAAGTAATTTAAAGCAGTTTAACATAAGGCAGCAACATAACAAAACGTGGAAAAAACAAAAGGGTATGAATACTTTTGCAAGGCACTGTATATATATATATATACACACACACATACTGTATATATAAATTATTTTGATATTTTTTAATATAAATATTAAAAAAAATAACAATAAAAAATATTTCTCATTTAAGTTGCTTGAAGAAATAAATATTTTTCTCTTTCCTTTTCAAGATTTTCATTATAGGCCTAATACACAGGTCCAATATTCTGACACTAAACATGTAATGTAAATGCTCCATTAGTATCCCGCCAAGTCAGACATTTTCCTGTACATTTACAAGTAGATTTGATCGCTCTGGTGCTTAGCAACATTATCACGAGTGCACTTCACATAGCACACACCGTATCAAAATTGCAGTACTTTTGACATCCCTGAACAGGTCTGAATCTCTAAGCATATTACACGTATGATTCAAATGCAATTACTGATGTGGTGACGGACTTACGGATTAGGCCTGACTCATTCAACGTGATCAGACTGCGTGGGATCAGATCACACACCAAACTGGGCTCTCAGTGCCAACATTACTGGTCATTAAATTCACCACCTGCTGACTGCGCCCGTTCCAGAATTTGCCTGATGTCACTTCACTAATAGAGGCAAAGCTTGCAGATTGATCATTTGCAGCGACAGAGTTTCCATGGTAACACAGGTACTTACAATAGGACCGGGTGGACCCTGTGGACCCTCGCCTCCCTTCAGACCAGATGGACCCTGTGTGAGAAGGAGAGAGAGCAGTTTAATTCTCTAATGAGAGCTGTGCTTCAGAATCTGTCAAAGTGGCATCTGAAACTCTGCGTGCGCTTGCATTTGTTTGTGCCAGTGTATAGCAGCTGTTTGTACTATATGTCTCCTGGAAATACAGCCCAGAGTGTTTATACAACTGGCAATCTCTCTATTTCCTACATCAGAAACAAGTGCTGGCAGTGCATTGTCATGTGACGCCAAGGACACGTCATTCTCTTCCCATCTGAGTCCTGAAAAACATATGAGCCAGCTAAAAGTAAACATCAAAACAGCAAGTGACGGCAAAATCGACTGTTGTTTATTGAAATCATACTGGCTTTGTGTTTTAAATGTGACTTTCAGCAACAACTGATTCATGAAAGAGATAACTAGTGGAGACTGAAATTCATCAAGAAGGCAGATGCTGTTTCTGATACTAAAAACAAAACAATGTTTGATTATATTCAGTCCCACAGTTTTAAGTACTCTTAATGAAGAAAAACTAGTAGAGACATTTCCAAGTCCCTGTGACATATGCCTGCTTTGAGTTGGCCACCTGTGGCAGTTTGTTATGTACAAAGTCATTCACAAGCCCACAGAGTTCCACATCAGAGGGACAATAAATATGTCAAACCGCATCTTTTAAAACTTACTAAAAGTTAGGCATTTTATGAGATACATGTTAGCATTTATTTGGTAAAACTTTAGAATAACCTCACACTATGGACCATTAGTTAAGCATTAGTAAATAGTCAATTCATCATTTATAAAAAAATGTCCCTACATTAATAGAGAGTAAGCAGTTTATAAATACATCTATAAATGCTTTGTTCTTGATTTATGAGCATATCTATAATGTGTTTAATCGTTGTATTTTCATAATTTATTAATGATCAATGTATCATTTCTAAATTAAGTATTACATTATTTACAAACCAGTTATTTAGGAGTTGTCAGTGGTTCATAAGATCATTTAGATCTGTATTACACTATATTGTGTTTGTTTCCTTTTTCTGTTTAGAAGATAACTGATCCTTTAAATCTCCTTTTTAAAAGTTTTTATGAGGCACAAGTAGTCCTCACTTTAGATTGGCTCACACAAATAGTTAACTGACAACTACTCAAGGTTTTATAACTACCTGAGTTAATCATGAAGTACAGTAAGAATACGTGTTAATACAGCATTTATTAACACACTATTACTATATGTCTAAATAATATGTATAAATGTCCATTTCAATAGTTTATTAATCATTTACTTAACCTTTCTAAATGATCTTATGAACCCCTGATGACAACTAAATAACCGTTTTGTTAATAATGGCATACTTAATTTAGAAATGATAAACTGATCAATAATAAAGTATAACAGCTGTGAGACTGTAAAATCTGATTAAAAATGAACTTTTTTTCTAAAATGAGTCTCCAACCAGAGATTATGTTGGTACACACAAGTTTCTTTCCAAAAAATCGTGGACCTTTGTACATTAAAGTCAATATCAAATCAAAATTGCCTATTTATATATCCCTGGTTGTGTTGCAATACACTGCAGTGGAATTTCTCTGCAGTGTTAAAGACGTATTTTTTTAAAAAGCTTGCTAAACGTCTAAATGCATGTGAAATATGGCAGTTAATCTCCATGAGCCTCAGTCTCATAGTTAGGACTGTACCCTCTCCTGAGGCATTCATCCAGCGTAAGCATTTGCATGAACAGCAGGCGGTTAAGCAGCTAATGTCCATTTGGTGGGGCACACGACATTAACTCGTTTGTTCTTACCGCTGTGCCAGGAATCCCCCTTTGGCCTGGGAACCCTTTTAGTCCGGCAGGGCCAGGTTTCCCAGAAACCCCCTGAGGACCTGGATCACCCTTCAAGGAGAGAGATGATGAGAATTTAGTCTTCAAACCTAAAACCAACAACCTCCACAGCTGCTATTTGTAGGCCTTACCAACCACCTGCACATTGTGAAATTGGACTCAACATTATGCGAATTCTTCCCAGTTATTACCCTTGAGTGATCTGAAGTGAGCATGTTTAGCAAACCGTACCTTTCCACCTTCTTTGCCAGCAGCTCCGGGAAGACCTTGCTCTCCAGGGGGTCCTGGTGATCCAGGATGTCCTCTCTCTCCAACAGGTCCAGTTTCTCCTGTAGAGCCCTTTCAAATTTAAACAGGTTTTTAAATTTAACTGCTGGCTAACTGCAGGAGATGTTTTATTAGAGCAACATGTTTTTTTTTTAATATTTCTACTCATATAACAGCAACTGCAGCTCACCTGTGGGCCAACAACACCTCCAGGTCCAGGAGGTCCAGTCTTTCCTTGGAAACCCTGTTTGAGGACAAGCATAGTCATTGTGAGCATAGTTATCACATTTCTGGAAGCAAACTTGGAGAAAATGAAAACCTGATGGAAACTATGTAAATATCACTAAAAACTGTACAAATCCAGCCTCTGAAATGTCAGCAGCACTTATTTTTGTTACATCCTTTTTTCCTTAAATCAGTGAAAGTCAAGTGTAGTGTTTTCATCTTAAAAAAAACCAAGGGGGATCTTTTAAGATAAAATGAGTTTCTCCTTTTAGCACTCCATCTGTCGGACATTCTTGATTAGAAACAGAAAGATAGACCTGCCAAGAGCAGTGTAGCGCCTTGACACTGTCAGCAGCTAAAAGGTAATACACCATATAAACACTGTTCACAACATTTATTCCTCTTTACTCAAGAGACAGAAAACACTTATGAAGACAAAACGTTACTCACAGTCTCTCCTCGCTGTCCAGGGTGACCGGGCAATCCATCCTTTCCAGGAGGCCCCTGAGGGAATTACATAATTAATAGTGATTAAATCACATTTATGTAATTATTATATAATAGACTTGTAGACTTGTGGCTATTATTCTTTTGGGTTTTGTGATTTAATGGCTACAGCTAGACCTATTATTTGAACTACAGTATAGTAAGTCTAATGTATGGAAGCCCATTTCAGCCACATAAGGATAAACAATAATGCTTTCGCAAATCAAAATAAAAAGACATAAAAAGTAGAAATTATTACATAAAAGTAAAAATTGTGACATTAAAAATCAAACCTTTTTGTCATAATTTAGAATTTTTCCAATTATGACAAATAATGAATCTATACTTAGCATGTCATCATTTTAACATAAACATAACACAAATTACACTTTTATGACACAAAATAATTAAATCATTAAATGTAAAAATTTAAATTTCAATATTCTGTCATCATTTTGAATTCTTTTAATTAATTTTTTATTTAATTATAATTAAGTAGAAAGTAGAGTAAACTGAGTTAAAAAGTAGAATTTATGAGACATTAAAAGTCATTATCATATCAAACTTTTATCATGAATAATTATGAATTTTATTTTAGAATTTCAACTTGTGTCATAATTAGTTATCTCATAATTTTTTCCATTTTTCTCAATTTTGACTTTTCTCTCCCTTATAAATAATTTTCTTATGTGGTGGAAATTCTAAGTTGAAGAGTAGAAGAACTTCTATCCACAGCATTAAAATGATCAAAACATTTAAAATGGATAAAACCACATACAGGTGGTCCTTTAGGGCCTGTTAATCCAACAGGGCCCTGAGGTCCTTGGAGTCCCTAAAACATGAAGAAAGTAACATGTAACAGGGAAATGTAATGGAAAAGTTTTCAAACTTTTATCATGAATAATTATGAATTTTATTTTAGAATTTCAACTTGTGTCATAATTAGTTATCTCATAATTTTTTCCATTTTTCTCAATTTTGACTTTTCTCTCCCTTATAAATTATTTTCTTATGTGGTGGAAATTCTAAGTTGAAGAGTAGAAGAACTTCTATCCACAGCATTAAAATGATCAAAACATTTAAAATGGATAAAACCACATACAGGTGGTCCTTTAGGGCCTGTTAATCCAACAGGGCCCTGAGGTCCTTGGAGTCCCTAAAACATGAAGAAAGTAACATGTAACAGGGAAATGTAATGGAAAAGTTTTTGACCTGGTAAGTTGACAAATACAACTGAATGGGAGAACTAATTCAATGATCACTTACTCTCTCTCCTGGGCCACCAGCTGGTCCATCATTTCCTGCTGTTCCCTAAAAAAAGAAACAGTCAAAGGTCCCTGTTAAAAGCAAGCATTCACACATACCAATAACTAATTAAGTTAAGCTGAATCAGGACTGATGAAGCCTGACCTTTGCTCCAGGTTTTCCCGTTGGACCTCTGGCACCTCTTCCACCACGGGGACCCTGAGGACAAGAGTTATTAGTGATACGCCTTGTGCATCACTAGCGTATGTGGAAAAAAAGTGTTCTTTTCTACTTAAAAGGTTCAAGCTTGACATACCGTTGGTCCTCTTTGTCCTCGTGGACCTGCTTTACCAGCAATACCCTAAAAAAACAAAACAATTACAATAACTTAGCTCTAAGACTAGTCAACTTCTGGTAGAAGTTGTTTGTCATCAGAACCAGAGAGATGTGATAAAAATGGCTCCTTCAGGCTATAGCTTGTAAAAAAAATCTAATCTTAAGAGTGAAATCAAAAGGGCCTCATACATACCCTTGCTCCCTTCTCACCATTGGCTCCAGGGAAGCCAACGAAACCAGTTGAGCCCTGTAGATGGAGACAGATTATTAGACACATTGAGAGGAGCTGTTTTCAACGATACCGTGTAAATGACATGCTCACTTCAAAAGTATCCAATATCCTTTAAAACATGCCAAAAACAAGCTGTGCTGACAGAGAGAGGGTGTCCTTGAAGAATAATTCAACATAGTTACTGCTAATGCTAATGTTATGTGGGTGATACTCAGAGGGCAAGCTTTTGGAGTTGATAAACATGAGCGGTGTGCGCTTGTTAGCACAAGGACAGGAGATGAAATTGAAGGTCGAATTATTTTGGCAGGCAAAGAAGGGGAAGCGGTCTGTACACAATGGATACGCATCAGTAATTTACTCCATGGGATGGTTGCCTGCACAGGATAATGGAGCAAATCAAACAGACAACTGCAAACACACACACACACACACACACACACACACAGAAAAAGGAACACTGCAGTTTGACTGAACCAGAGGAAGTGAGTGGAGAAGGCCGACAACAATTTCCCATCACCGCTGAAAGTGAACACTAATCACAACGCTCCAGCTCCACTCTGGGTTTTACATTTTTCAACTGATACCTTATTTAAAATGTCTAATATCTAATTTTATCTCACACACACACACACACACACACACACACACACACACACACACACACACACACACACACACACACACACACACACACACACAGCAGTTGGAGAAGTTAAAACAGTCATTAAAACAATAACATTAACCTATTAACATGTTATGCTTTTGTTGGAAGCATGATAAGCCACTTATTATTTTCATGTTATGCACCATAATCAATAAATGCCGGTAATTCTGTCTAAACACACTGAGTGAAAAAAGAGTCATACATGAAATAGAAAAAAAAAGCTTAAAAAAATAACGAATTGCAAAAAGTTTTAGTGTTAAACCCTTCATCAGTGCCTAAATAAGTATATATAAAAATGTAAAAATGATTAAATAAATAAAATGCTAAAAACTAAAATCTATTGTTTTAATTTCTACTAGTTAATTCAGACATCACAACATTATAATTTACAGTATGAAAAATGGGTATTAATTTTGAGTTTGGATTTTTTTTTCAGATTTGCTAAAGATTACATTAATACTACGAAATTATTAGCGTTTTAAAAATAACCTTAAGTGAGTCATAGATTATGCCAAATAATTTAGTAGTAATAATAATAATAATAATAATAATAAAAACATACGTAGTAAGTCAAAGGTTAAAGGAGAGGAAATTAGTAAAGTAATGAAATATTAATATCAACTATACTGATTAAAAAAACTATAGCCATTAATTAGCAATATGATACTGATATATTGTGCATCTGTCACTGGACCTCAAATAAAAAAACTAAACAAAACAAAACAAAACCCTCCTCAATAGGAAATAATAATAATACAATTCATCATCATCATCATCATCATCATCATCATCACACAATTCCGCTCTTCATTCCACGCTCAGACACTCCTCAAATAATTTGAACAGAACCCTGAACAGGCCAAACATCAACTGTAAATCCAGAGCTGAAATAGCTGACAAAGCAGGATGTAGCCTACTTCAATGTCACTTTGCACCACTTGCTATTCAAGCAAATTAGGATCCATTTCATAAAAAAAACTTCAAAAGTAAAACTCAATGAATAAATACCAGGGAGTTCAAGCTATTTGAGTGGACCAGCCCTATACTGAATCAAATGCTTGTTCTGATGGTGTCAGCAGCCTGAACTGAATGAATAAGCTGACAAACATCATAAACTGTGTCTGCACAGTCTTGAGCTGTTCACAGGCCTGCACTTATTGCATGCTGGGTGGCCAAGAGATAAAACAGTCAACGTCATGGAGAATGAGTTTATCCTATTAACTCTGTTAACACAGGCTATCAGAGAACAGCAGGCCTTGCGTGTCAAAAGCGCTCGGCGAAATATAAATAAAGCAGTACTGACAGTGGCACCGTTTAAGAGACATGATAACTTCATAGTTTTATTTTTGATTAGTGTCTCATTTTAATCTAGAGATAATAATCCTAGAGATGCTTTGAAAAAATAAATACAAATAAAATAGAAATAACATAAAATAACGATAAAGTTGCAACAGGAAACGTGTCAGTACTTACTTTAGGACCTTGTCTTCCTGGGTAGCCAGGCAAACCTGGAACACCAAGTTTTCCCTAAAAATTAAAAGAAAAAAGAACAAACTCAGCACATTGTCATTTTGAGTTTTTAAATAATCATCAGGCCCTATACAGTAACAATAAAACATTTCACCACCCTCCATAAACTGTAAAAGCATATGGGAAATGTAATGGAGTATTTGGCTGACATTTAAAACTGCCATTCAGAATCAATTTATGATTATGAGTTCGGTGTCATTTTAAGTTTTAATTCACACATGTATTAATAATCCCTGACAGACACTTCAAGTGCCCCAAAAACCCTAGTGTTGATTTTTCCAGGGCTGGTCATTTCAAGTACTTTGACATTGTATTGAACATAATGAGTTGCAAACTGACCTTCTCTCCTGCCATGCCCATGGGACCAGCCTCTCCAGAGGGACCTCCTTTACCTTTCGGCCCCTCTGGTCCGTCTTCTCCTCTGGGGCCCAACACGCCAACCTCTCCCTGAACACCAGCAACAATCCACAAACTTCATATCAGACTTGTAACGACTACTATAAATGGTTAAAACTCACCTTAAATAAATAATAAATAAGTGTTTATAAGAGTTGATTGAAATTAAATGTAACTATATGTGTTTGTTACTCACCTTATCACCCTTGAGGCCCATGTCACCCTTGAACCCAGGAAAACCATCTTCTCCCTGAAATCAAACTCAGGACATTTATTTGGGTAAAATGTAAACTTATGCTAATAAACAAATGAATGAATTAATTAATGAATGTGACAACAAAAACTATGTAAATTGACATTTAAAAATATAATTTAAATAGAATTAACATTTAAAATATAACTTTTCACAATGAATACTGATAGATAGATAGATAGATAGATAGATAGATAGATAGATAGATAGATAGATAGATAGATAGATAGATAGAAATAGTCAGATGATAGATAGATAGATAGATAGATAGATAGATAGATAGATAGATAGATAGATAGATAGATAGATAGAAATAATCGATAGATAGATAGATAGATAGATAGATAGATAGATAGAAATAGTCAGATGATAGATAGATAGATAGATAGATAGATAGATAGATAGATAGATAGATAGATAGATAGATAGACAGACAGACAGACAGATATATAGATAGATAGATAGATAGATAGATAGATAGATAGATAGATAGATAGATAGATAGATAGATAGATAGATAGATAGATAGATAGATAGATAGATAGATAGATAGATAGAAATAGTCAGATGATAGATAGATAGATAGATAGATAGATAGATAGATAGATAGATAGATAGATAGATAGATAGATAGAGATAGATAGATAGACAGATAGATAGACAGACAGACAGATAGACAGAAATAGTCAGACGATAGATAGATAGATAGACAGATAGATAGATAGAAATAGTCAGATGATAGATAGATAGATAGATAGATAGATAGATAGATAGATAGATAGATAGATAGATAGAAATAGTCAGATTATAGATAGATAGAAATAGTCAGTGATAGATAGATAGATAGATAGAAATAGTAATAGAATTTAAATGGAAATTACATTTAAATACACACAATAAGTGTCATCACTCCTGAACCCATGAAAAACATAATCTCAGAACATTTATTTGGGTAAAATGCAAACTCATTTAAATAAATAATTAAATACATTTTCAAAATTCCAAAGTAAAAAACTAAAAATACTGAGCAAAAACTATCAAACATTTTTATCTGAGTTCGAATACTCCATAAGAACATAATGGGTAAATGCTGGCATCTTGTGGCCATAGTGTAAACTGCTGGTTTAAGCTAGTTCAGTCTGAGAAATTAAATCATATCTATGATTGCATGTTCATTTAACAAACTATAAAAGCTATAAATGTTAAGCTTGAGAATTAATATCTCATATCAATAACGATACATTTTAGAAGCTGACTTCACTATTGTATGAATGAAACACTGACACTTGGTGGCCACTGCAGAGGATACAGCCTGAAGCAGATCGAGCCATACTGTATATATACAAAACAATTATAACAGATTACAATTCTTCTATCATTTTTTCTGCTTATAAATATCAGCTGATATCCGGTCATATGGCTTTGCTTTATACCACACACTCATAACACCTGATTTAAGCCATTTTGATGCAATTAGTCCCTGAAATGGCCACTTTTAGCTGCTGACCCAAGAGCTCAGTAATGGAGACAGGGGACGGCTAATTTGCTTACCTTTTCTCCTTTGCCCCCTTTCAAGCCACGAACGCCCTCTGCACCCTAAATGGACAGAACAATGAAAAGAGGCTCTAATGGATAGAATAAACGCACATAATAATGAACCAGTGAGATGAAGAGAATCAAGGCTGTTTACCTTCACGCCTCGGGGACCGGGATAGCCAATGGACCCCTGGGGACCTGAGTGGCCCTATAGGAAATGAGTAAATATAATAACACTGAATCAATCAGGATTAATAGAGGGGAATTAGGTTTTAAACATCTAAAGGGGCCACACATTAAGTGTTAATTACAGACAGAGAAATAGCTTTAATTTCAATACTAAACTTTTAAACAGCTGCAAAATAGTGCCTTATTTTAAATAGTTTAGTGGCTTTGTACTTGAAATGTGGTCAATAACTGGAACTTAGAGTGACAATTCATTTCGAGACAAACTAAAAATACACTCACAGCTGCTCCTTTCTCCCCGGGAGAACCCTCCTTCCCAGGATGACCCTGTGCAAAGATTATAAACAAAAGCATCTTCATTGAAAGTCTGAAAGTAACATGAGGAAAATGCAGCTGGGTATGGTCTTGTGGATTTAGTGTACAGTTATTTACAGTATTCAAACGCCAGTGTTATAATTATTCCAGTGTAAGAGTCTTGTTTGCAAGAATCAAATTTTTAGGGGTTGTGCATCACTTAGAATTGGAATTGAAAAAAATTTTTTTTTTAGTTTTCTTTTATTCTGCAAGTTAATACATTCATCAAAATGATTAAACTAACCAAAAGAGACAGCAAATACATTTATACTGTAATAAAATAATATTATTACAGTAATAATATTATAACTCAATTTGAGTCTTTACCAGTCTTCAAGAAACGACTAAAAACACATGTGTTGCACCTTTATTTGACCCTCTAACTCTAGCACTTTCTATTCTATTTTAATTCTACTTTATCTATATTTATCTTCTTCTTTTTTTTTAAACTAAACATATATATATATATATATATATATATATACACACCTTGCTACGTGTACTGCGTTAGGCTAACCGAGACTTGTCATTTGCACTTATATATTGTTGCTCTTTTGTTAGTTTTGATTTTTGATGATTTCTGAATGATCATGTGACACTGAAGACTGGGGTAATGGCTGCTGAAAATTCAGCATAAACATATATATTCTAAGGCTACTTTACCATAAAATATTTTTTCTTCCTAAAATAAATAATAAACACATAGAGTACTAAGTATTTAAAAATAAAATCATATTATTCAGATTTTTTAAAATTCTATAAATATTAGATATGACTTATATCAATAACCAACAACACTAAATATTATAAAGAAATACTATATATTTAAACAAAAATATATAATTTAATGGACCACAGTGGAATTTCATTTCCCAGAATGCTATATTTAAAGTCTTCAAAATGGAGTCAATCCACATGAAACAGACTATAAGACTGAAATCAAACAAGTTTTCTGTTTTTGCTCATTTTGATGTTGTGTTGGACTAATGAAAGTCCTCTGTCGTGTCTGTGTTGAATTTCTCTGAACTGCAATTCAGTAAATTCCACTTCCTGTCATTCCAATTCAAATTTCAACTCCTGGATTGAAAGGCACCCGCCACTTTAATTCTAAATTGTGCAAGGTAAATATATTCCCCTCAAGCCAGGATTATCACCAAGCATGTTACTGGCTAATGACGTATGATGATGCACAGTATTTCTGATATAAACATGGAGACTTAGGGGAGGGGAGAATATGAAATACAGAAAAATCCACTTACGGGAGGCCCATCAGCCCCAGCCAGTCCATGGAGCCCCTGTTTCCCATTGGGACCCTATAAGAGAGAGAGAGAGAAAGAAAGAGGATAAGTGAGAAAAGAAGGAAGAAAGAGAAGAGCGAGATAAAACACACACAATTACTGGTGTGCCCAAGTGATTCGCGGGGCGACTTTTATAAGCAGTTCAATCCTAAAGCATTTCATTATCATCTTTTTCCTCTTGGTAAAGAAGAGATCTAATCATATGGTATGTCTGGAAACACTCCACCACTTCTGGAGTCACATTTCAGACTCTCTGGCATCCTTCCAGGAGCCCTGAGATAACGCTTGTCTGAGAGACCAACCAATGACAGTTACGTGTGTAAGCATATCTCCTGCTTGTCAAAGCATTAGCGAGTCTTGAGGTGTGTGTGTGTGGTTTTCCTCTAGTCAGCATTGATCTACTAGCAACCTACAGCTTGGAAACCGAGGAGTCTGTTGAATCGTTTATGGGGTTAGGGCAGAAAAACGCCGTCTGTAATAACAAAGACGATGGCTGCCGGGGCAAACTCACTTTCTCTCCAGGTGGACCGATCGGGCCTTGAGGACCAGGCAGACCCTGCAAGACAAGATTTCAGAAGTCAGATAGTACAACATGGGGTCTTCAGGGGAAATCTGATAGTAAAGTTTATATTGGAAAAAGCTGTGTGAGCACCTCTCAGTCAAATCTGAGAAAGAATGTCGAACAGGATACATTATTCTTGTCTGAATATACGAGTTGTCTCTTTCCTCATGACTTTTTCCATCAAATTCTTTTAATGACAGTTTATTAAGCTCCACCTTTAACTGAATACAACAGAAAATGCATAAAAAGTGCATGTAATAAATTGATATATTTCCAATTAAAATAGGAAGTTTGTGTGGGAGATATTAAAGTGGTGGGTTCCCTTTTTCTTTTAAACTAGCCAAAAAGCTATAGCAAATGTACGTCACATCATAAACATGATTTGTTAATTGCTAGTCAGTTGTGGGTGGTATTGGGGGAGGGACTTTCTCATTCTGGAAAGCATCTGATTGGACAAAATTCTTTGCAGTACATGAACATAAATCAGCTATATTTTTGGTTTATTTACACTGCTGTTCAATAGTTACACTAAAACAGTATATTGCAAATTATTTTAATCATTCAAAAGTACTGTTTTCTATTTGAATATATGTTCAAATGTAATTTATTCCTGTGATGCAAAGCTGAATTTTCAGCAGCCATTACTCCAGTTTTCAGTGTCTCATGACATTTTAGAAATCATTCTAATATGCTGATTTGCTGCTTGAGAGGCATGTATTATTATCAATGTTGAAAACAGTTGTGCTGCATAATAGTTAAGTGGATTTATTTTATTTATTGATGAATAGAGGGTTTAAAAGAACAGCATTTATTTGAAATTGCTAAATAAAAGTATTGATTTCTTAAAAAACTGACCTTTTACTGACCTTTTCGAACAGTAGAGTATATATATAGTGTATCTACAAAAGATTGTTTTTGTCAACTTTTAGGAGTTCAGTAGTGTGTAGATTACTTCAAAGCTAATAGACAAAGACTAAAGGCCACACAAATGTCATGGAAAAAGGGAAGTGAACGATTCTTGATTAGAAAAACAATCAGATTGTCTGAGAGAAAGACAGAGAGAGTGAGAAAAAGAGCAGACCGACAGTGATCATTCGACTGATACCTACATGTGGACCGGTGTTCCCCTGTTGCCCAGAAGGTCCAGGCTCTCCTTGAGGACCCTGTTAAAACATTTAACAAAAACACTTTAGTACACAACACTATTATTATTCCTACACTTCACTGCTCCAGGGAGCCTGACATTTTATAAAGATATGAAAAACAGTCCCAGTACCTCAAACTCCAAAAATACTCTGCATGTTAATTAAACAACAGACACGTGAAAATTGCAAATCCATCTTTTTTCCATTGGCTGTCCTTCCTGAATTGCACAGCCTACTGTAATAAAATCTATTATAGCAGCTTTAAACCACTGGCAAAGAGGAAGAGACAGAGATGGGTACAAATTGTATTACTTTAAAAAAAAAATGCATAAGAAAGGCAGTTGTAGTTAGAGTGAGACCTTGAGTGAATGGAAAAAAACATCATTTTATATTTATATAAATATATTTATTTATTTTAATTAACTCCAGTGATACTCCTAGTATTTAATGAGCCTGATGAGTTTATTTGCTAGCTAAGAAGTTGGACCAAACACTTGTGTATACTGATGTATAACTTTGATCTACATTATTGAATCTACAACAAACACTTATTCATGACATTACATTTACATTTAGTCATTTTGCAGACGCTTTTATCCAAAGTGACTTACAATTAATTCACATTAATGAAATCACAATCAGTTATGTCACTGTTGGGATGGTTTATAGTTAATTCATTTTTGGTTCTTCTTTTTTACATTTTTGTTTTATTATGATTATTATTTTTTAATCATTCATTTTTCAATCAGTCAATCCCAATGACCAATTTGAATTCTTCACAGACCACAGTTTGTAAACAAATGAATGAGAAACGAATAGAATCATGGTAAAAACATTGCACTGTATACCTACATGAATCCTACACTTCCTGTCTTGCGTATTTTAGTGGCAGACTTCATGCCTTCTTAATTTCAGCACTTCCAGGTCAAAGATCACCCCCCCCCTGCTGCCACAGTAACAGTGACATTAGCTCTCTCCTGCCAGGCCTACGGTGTTTCTCTCATCTAATAGCCTTATTTAGATATGACCTTCGCTTGGGACAACAAATATGTTTCAGAGAGGTCAGAGGTTGTCAGCAAAAGACAGTTAACCAGGAAACCCCTTCATGAGGTGACCAGAAGAGGCTCTCTGTGATACTGTGATAAGTACACTACTAAAGCAGGGGAGAGAAAGTCCTTACCATATTTCCTTTAGGGCCAGGTGGTCCATCCAATCCAGGAAGACCCTGCATGTGTATAAAATAGAAGTGTTTAGCTGTGAATTTCATGCTATTTGTACAGTTGTAATTAAGCAAGTGTGGTACATACACGCTGTCCAGAGGTCCCAGCAGAACCTCTGGGGCCCAGCAGTCCTCTTGGACCCTGGGAATCAATAAAAGATGCATGTCATCATGAGAATTAATTAGACCATTATACTGACCTCAAGCCAAAAGACCCCTTGGTGGATAGAGATATGGAGCATGGACCCCTTTTACATATGTGTTGTATTTTGAGTTACAACATATACCATATTTATGTATGCTTCTGTAAGAGATTCAGCCAAACGTTCTACGATAAAGAGCCAATAAAACAAACTTCACTGAGGGCTGTGGGCTGAAAGTAAATGTTGCATTATATATAACAATACTATACTAAAATGTACATTTAAAAAAATCAAATTCACCTAAATTAACATGAACTCCCTCTTGTGATGTGGCATTGCAGGACAAAACAAAAGGCATCATGGAGCAGCTTTAGCCTGCAGTTTAAGTATATATTGTGATTTATATACTTTATGATGGTGATTAAACTACAGTATCATTAAAATATTATCATTATTGATGATTCAGATAATTGTACATTTACATTTTTTAAAGTGGAAGGGACGACAAAACATTTTATATATCAATATTATATATCTGTTTAATGAAAATGTAATTTTTTCAATAATTAGTTTGCATACTTGGTGGACACCCTGTATTTACATTGTATAATAGTCACATTTTCAACAGTATGTCTACTTTGTGATCTAGACTGATTAAAGCTTCAGTAATATCTGCATACTGTGTTTTGATCAACTCAGAGAGGCATATTAAAAATTCTCTTAAAGGAACAGTCAGCACAGAACACAAAGTTTAAGAAAGGACACCCTCGATATGCTTTTTATTGATTCATTCAAAATGGTTTAGAGATAACTATGTAAAACAGAAACTACTAGGTACTTTGGGTTTTTGCTGTAGACCCAGAGGTTCACTACATCAGCTGTGGGACTCAATCCAATTAGGTTCCACATCTTCAGGGCTGATTCTGTTATTTGTTAGATTTCTGCTGATGGAGTATTTAGTCAAAGAGCGAGTAAAATATGTGAGACTATTAGTGTGTCGTGAGAAAGAGAGCTGGAGAAAATAGAAAACTGCAGCTCTCCTTTCCTATACAGAGCCATTACCTCAATGAGCAACACAAACTGAGATCTAAGAGCAGGGTGGGCCGTGAAGAGTGATTATAGTGGGCAGTCATGTTCTTTTAGGCATAAAGTGAAGTTAATAACCCTCGCGTTCTGTCCTGAGAGCCCCAAGGCACATTTGAATAACTCAAAAACTTGCTTACCATTGTTAACTTGATACTTCACTTTTCCTAATTAGGTTATATACACAATTTTAACTCGATAATACATACCTTACATGAAAAGGTCACATTACTTGTGGTCTTAGACACTTAAAAATATTTTTAAAAACTATAAATATGAATCTCACTTTAGATCAATTGAATTTTTTTTCTAACTGACCCCAAACTTTTGAACGTTAGCATATTTAGGATTTTTTATAAAAAATGTTTTGCCAGGGTCAAACCGACTTCAAACAGAAACTACTTAATTATATTGGAAACTTATTTCATAAGTCTGTGCCTACACCGTGATGCAAAAGAGTATTAAAGCTTCAAACAATGTCTACTAAGCTTTGAATAGTTCACATAAAAAATATTGTAAAGGGAAAATATGACAAGAGAATACAAAATGTAAATAGAGATGGAGATGCTTACACTTTCTCCTGGCATTCCTCTCTGTCCAATCTCACCATCCTCGCCCTGCAGACAAGAGCACAAACACACTTGCCAACGTGTCTGCACACACATATGCAAATACAAATGAATCAAAATAAGAAATTAATGTGTCACTTGGACAAACACACCCTCGGTCCATCCTCTCCTGGAGGGCCTGGTGAGCCGATAGGACCTCCCTCACCCTAAAAGAAAACGAAAGAGATTAAATGACAGAGGGAGAAAAAGAGTAAATGTATTATTACTGTCCCTGCCTGCTTTTGGCTCCATGCATTGTTAGGGCCCATGACCACTATTTATAAGACTGCATCCCTATAAGAAGAGGCTATAACATAGCGGGGCCTGTAATTACCCAGGGCAGGATTAAGAGGACAGCACTTTGGCTGGAAATACACACAGCTCCCTGTGATTTGCGGGCCTCTTTCACTATACTAGCCCAGGCCAAGCAAGCCACACTCTGCTGTGCCTAGCGAGGGCAGCTTTCGTTTGCCAGAGGAACGCAAGCACGCCAAACAACCCCCAGTGCCACTATAATGAGGTCAGCTTCTCCTGCCACTATGACTGTCAGCACGCTAAACAAAACGTACAGCGGCAGACACAGAACATTATAAAAATGCACTCGGTCTTGGCAGGAGCCGTCGAGAAGCTTTTCAAATAGACTTAACGCAATATTAGATTTCTGTAGGAAAACTGCTGCTGAGGAATAAAATGAAACCAGGCAAGAATTGTTCCCATAATCATAAAGAACTGTTCGAGACAAGCTGGAAGTTTGATAATTGAACATTAAAAAGACATTTTTCTCACGGGTGGTGGTCAGGCTTGCGTTCTGCTGTCTAGAACAATTCGCTTTCATTTCAAGTATTACAACAATGAAAGGAAACTATGTATGAGTTTTCTTAAGAATAGCTCAGCACTTACCCTGTGTCCTTTCTCACCAGGAAGACCAGGAAGTCCATCAAATCCTCGGTCCCCCTGTTAGACAGTAATTACAATGAGAATAAAAATAGGGCTGTCAAAGTTAAAACCTAAGTGCATGTTTTTATGCATTTATTATGTTACTTATTTCTGCCCATGCATTTTCCTTCAAACTAGGGCTGTGTATTGATTAAAAAAAAAAATCTAACAAAATAATTGCATAGCTTGTGTGTGCGTGCACACTTAATTGGACCTAAAAATAAATTTTTAAATCACAAATGCTATTTATTATAAATATATTTACACAATACATTTTCAAAAACAATACATCTGAATTTTTTAAATGATTATTTCTGAGGATAAAATGGCCACTTACAGCAATTATTTAGGCCTGAACTGCAAATAATCAGACCAATGTTTTTGTTTGGTAACACTTTAGTGTAGGGACCAATTCTCACTATTAACTAGTTGTTTATTAGCATGCCTATTATTAACATATTGGCTGTTTATTAGTACTTAAAAAGCACATATTCTGCATAACCATATTCTACACCTCTAATCCCACCCAAACCTAAACTTAACAACCACCTTATTAACTATTAATGAACAGCAAATTAGGAGTTTATTGAGGCAAAAGTCGTAGTTAATGGTTTGTTAATAGTGAGAATGGGACCTTAAAATAAAGTGTTACCTATTGTTTATCATTTCCCTGTTACTAAATCAAACAAAAACATTAGTCTGATAATTTAATAATTATTGTTATAATTCCACAACATTATCAATCTTATAACAACCTTTAATTTAAATGATTATTTTAGCTAGTAGAGATAAACTCTTTAATTCAAAATCAGTAATTATATGACCCAGACACACAGTAACAAACACTCCCACTCCCAGTTTTGTTAGTTTCAGTACAAAAGAAGCAGTTCTGAAACCTCAATCAGTGCTTACTGTGTTTTAAGTAGAGGTTTTAAGTCAGAGGTGATTTTACCTTGGCTCCTGATTCTCCAGGAATTCCTCTGGCTCCATCGGCTCCATTTCGGCCCTGTAAAACCAGGTCGCATCATCAGCCTGTTGCTGCAGGTTAATGTGCTTAACATATGTTTTAAACAACTGCAGAATTAATGTGTGACAGGAGATGACGTGAAGCGAGCGCGTACACACAACCTAAATAAGGTGTGTTGAGGCTACAGCACATTTGGGGATTGAGTTATTGTGGCAATTTGACTCATTTATAACAAAACTGTGAATAAACTGTGTCAAAGGAGAATCTGAGAAACGTTTGGCATTACAACTGGCAGATGTGAATGTGAATCCAGCAGACATATGTCATTCAGTTAAGCTGAAACAGGTAAATTAAGGTCAAGGCTAATAGACACAGACAGTTTCACGGAAAATCTGGTGCGCGGTTGGAGAGTGAACAGTAGGCTTCTTGCGTAGAGCCTTTCAGCTTCACTTTGCCGGAGTACTTCAGCAGCAGTTTTGCAGATGTATTATGTATGTCACCTTTTTGCTTTTTCAAAGTCATGCCACAATCAAACACTACCAATTCACAGCATGAGCAGATTTTTCCTATTCTTACCCTCTTGCCTCCTTTTCCATGTGGTCCAGTAGGGCCCTGAAGTCCTCTCGGTCCCTTAAAAACACACAACATTCTGTAATGAAAGCGTACTGCTAAATGACAAAGCAGTGTTGAAAATTAAGTAAAAACAATTGTTAAAACTTTTTATGTGACGTAACACTTAAAGCCTAATAGTTCTTCCTCACCGTAGCTGACTAAGACTCTCTCTGCTCCAGAGTAGAAGCGCATGTTTTTTACATTAGAAAGTGCTATTTCATTGCGGACGAGTGTTTACCCCTTCAGCATATTTCACATTCAATTGCATATAAGCTATACCATGAAAAGAAGCATGCTAATTGTTATGACAGCGTTAAAGTTTATGGCGACTGCACCTGTGGGCTCCGAGGCAGAGCAAAACTCTGACGTAACACCCTAATTAGGTTAATTAATCTGCAACAGATAAGGACTACAACTGGATTCACCTTTGAGGGTTTATTTGTCATTTAAAATCAGCATTTTTAGAAACATTTTTTTTTCAGGGTGGGCCTAAAGAAAACAGTCACTTATAAGCATGATGCACATCTTTAACTACAATATTTCATCGAATGCAATGCAACTTAAAGAGATTGTTCACTCGAAAATGAAAAGTCTGATGACAGAACTATGGCTTTTAATATACATCTAATTATCTTAACTCTGCGGGCTCAAATATTTTGTCGCATTATAAATGTCTTTACTGTCCCTTTTGATCAGTTTTACTGCATTCTTGCTGAATAATAATATTAATTTATTTTAAAGAATAAGAATAATGATCAGATAATGAGTCTCAGGAATACTCATATCATTGTTCTAATTAGGATTACAATTAAATCGTTAAATTAATTGTTAAAAAGAGACATAGTCACCTGTGGGCCAGAATCTCCACTTTCCCCTTTAGCACCAGGTGCACCAGGACCACCCTGAAACACACACATACATACACAGATGAGTTTTACGTCTCACACACCTCTCTAAACACCAATATCATATGCGTGGAGCTGTGTTTGGGTCACACTCTGGCTACCCAAACACATTCATCTGCCATTGCTTTTAAAGGGCATTTGATTTGGAGGCAGCTGTGGAAAAGAATGAGAGAAATTCTAGTGGCATTCTTGGTATTATTCATCTCAAGAGGATGAAATACAGAAACACAAATGTGACAAAAGAAATCTGAGAAGGGAACGTGAAAACAAACAGCAGACAGCCTGAAAGCACATCAGGAGCGAAGAACTGTTCATTTTCTGGTCATAAATCATAGCGAGATGAAAGTAACACATGTTCCTATCAGTGTTTGTGTGATGTCAACTGGAGGAAGTTGGGTTTGAAAGGAAGACATGGGAAAAGAAAAGAAACATTCATGAAGGTAAATATTGCATGTATGTGGCTTTTAGATCGTGTTTATTTTATGTGCTCTTCTGTGCCCCTCATCTACAGAAAAATGAAAATAATAATAATAAAAATGAATTGAATGCATTTAAATTGAACAAGCATCACAATGCCTGAACTTTTTTTCACAACTGAATTTCACTGTGTGCAACATACACACATATATATATATATATATAGGTTTGTAAAACTGTTTAATTTAATTGTATTAATTTACATTGAAAATTATTCATGTTTTCCAAATACAAAATAATAATAATAATAATTAATTAAATGCATTTACATTGAATAAGCATCACAATGCCTTAACTTCTTGTTCACAACTTAATTTCATTTTGTGCAATATATTTAGGTTTGTAAAACTGTTTATTAAATTACATTTAATTAATTTACATTGAAAATTATTCATGTTTTTTAAATACAAAAATGCATACTGTCACAGAAACATTGGCAACTGATTAGAAAGATTTTTAAAATCTAACGTCACCTATTCATGACATTTATTTCATATGTTTTTTAAATAGATATATTTTGCTTTATATAAATATATCTCTATTTCTTGTTGCATTACAATTACTTACCGACACTTACCTAGCAAATGTTGGGTAAAATGCTTGTAAAAATAAATTCAACATATGAAGTAAAAGTGGTAATAGAACATAGTTTTATTTTGTTGAAAATAAATAATTTTGTTTAATGTTTTCCTTAAATTATATAGTCATTATTAAATGTCACTTAGAAATGGGACACTCACCAGAGGGCCGGAACGTCCTGTCAATCCCATTGGGCCAGGTGGTCCCCTCATAGTCAACTGCAGCGACAAAGTAAATGGTAAAAAAAAAAAATTTGCAAACCTGACATTAACTGCAGTAGAGTACATAAGTTGTGTTACTGGCAACTTGTACATTTCCATGTAGCATACAGTGTTATGAGAACTATAAACCTGTCTTAGTTTTAACAGTCCCTTTAAACTTGCTCATATACATTCTCTGCACCTAACACACTAGTTTCAGCCCCCCTCCCCCCAAAAAAATCATGAAACAAGGGTACACACCCGAGCCTGGGCGAGGATGGCTTGGGCCTGAGCTTCTTGTGCCGTCACCACTGGACCTTTGTGAGCTTCTCCACCAGCGCGGAACTGTCAGAGAAACATCCACAAACACAGAAATCGCAAGTTTATTTCAGTACTTTTACTGCATGCTGGAATTTAGAGGGGCCCCTGGAGACACTACAAAATAAAGTGGCCTCAACGGTCTTGTCATTATGGCTTTGCATCTGGGCTGCAAAGTGCCAGTTTGTGTAGAGCTAATGTAGACTTCTGGGTGTAGCGCGAGTGCAGTGGGTTTACGGGGTGGGGTTAGGGCTTTTCACTGCTGTAACAATTCATAACCTGCTTGGACGTTTACAATGATAGTAATTTGTCCAATGTTAGAGGAAGTGGCCATTTGCAGCTGATTTTGAGATAAGTTCAGTGGTTTCGCTAAGATTGCGGGCTGGAAAATCTTGTCCTTAATCAGAATCATTGGAAATGTATGGGTTGGACGAGCTTACCGGCAACATGAGGATGGTGCCAGAGGGCCCCGGAGCTCCATCTGCGCCTGGCAAACCAGGACGACCAGGAGGGCCCTGAGAGAAGAAGAGAGAAGAAGAAAAGAGGGAGGGAAAACAGAAGGAAATGAGCCATAAAGTGTGTGGGAAACTAATGTGTAAATGGCTGTAGAAAAAAAAGACAACTATAGGCATGGAAAGAGAGATTGTTTCTTTAAAGTTTAAAATACAGGGAAAATACTGTAGGATCATTTTAAATTGACAGTTAGGTCACCTAAATCAACTCAAAATGCCTAAACAGTTCACAAAAACAAAACTTGACTAAACAGTTTAGAGTCGCAAATTGCACCTAAACTGCAGGAGATTTCTGCAGTGTTCCTTACGCCCGAAATCAAAAATAGTTAATGTGCTAAAGCCCCGTCATTATCCCATAATAATACACTTAGGTTTATTTCGCTTTATATTTATACTGCGGTTTATGTATGTTTTGTGTTGTTTCTAGTTCCTTTCTTTGCGCTGTTTATTTGTGTGTGTGCTCGTCATGAAACTGACACCCCACAAGAAAAGCGGGGAGGACTACAACGCATGCACTCATATGATGGAATGCTGCTAGGGTAGTTTTGGGAAGAGATCTCTTTAGCAGGCATGTCACGCTCCTCTTGTAGACAGCTCACTTTAAATTGTTCCCATATGACGGTGTAATTGTGTGAGTGCATGTGTGTGTGTTTTAAGGCTGGGCAAACGTCCTTTCTATGTAACGTATACACTGACACCTAGCGCACATGTGCTTCTGAATATAAATCAGGGAGGATGTACTAGCCATCAAGGGAAGTGGCCGTCATTGTTAATTAAGCATTTTCGGCTACATAAGAGGAGGAACTGATGGAGATCAAAGCGAGCGGGAAATCGCTTCCCCTCACAGACAAAAAGCCCTTTGTGCTGGAAGACGCAGGTCAATGATGGTGTGAGTGCTGTCCGTTTCCCAGAATGCACTGCAAAGGCTAACTCTGCAGGAGGTTAAGAAGAAGAAGCCAAGCTGCACCACCGTAAAGAGGAAAAACTACCCAGCTCTTCTCTGTGCAGTAATCAACAGAGAGCATTTACAATTCTGAAAAATGGTGCGAACAGCACCAAACATAAGAATCTATGGGAGAATGAGTATGTGTTGATGTGTATGAGAGGTTATAAGCTCTGCTGCTCCTCTGGAAGTGTTATTAGAGTGAGGATTTATAGGCAGATCTGGTTTCAGTGTGGCCTCTCAGGTCTTTGTAATATGCACACATCTGCTCGTTTACATGCTGCTTGTCATTGGCTTATTATCTCGATGCTTTAAATAATGTAAACTTTACCATTATCTTTATGTGGAAGTCTAACTCCTCTAATAAAGTGAGAAAAGGATTGTGAAAGTTCCGACAGGGATACAGTTACCTATAACTGGTGTATATACGTGAATAAGATATTTTAACACCACAAACAGGATTACGAGATAGTAGGTAACCCATATGAGGGATGATTTTTGGGGAAATGTCAACTTACCCTCTCACCAGGATCTCCGTAGAGGCCTGAGGAGCCTTGTATACCTGGAGTGCCGGGGAGACCCTGACAAAAAGTACATGCGAAGCGTCAAAGGCAATGTAACATAGACAGAAACACACTATGCTGCCATTTTCCATAAAGTTAAGTTTTCCTATGGAGTTTCACCATGTGTGAAAAGAGTGCGGAACAAGGTGATACTCACAGGGGGACCTGGTGGTCCTGGGGGTCCCTCTACCAGCATCCCCTGAAAAGAATTGAAGGGGAAAGAGGAAGAAAAACATGAGTTCGGTAGCATGCTGGGCAGGCCGTAAATCTCACAGTATGAGCAGTACGGAAATAAAAAGAAAATCAGTGAAGAGTGAAGAGGAACCCAAAACATGTGGTTCATTTAGTCCAACTGAACCAATCGCCTTTTTTCACTATTCAAGAAAAGCGAATACTGCAACTGCTGTCAAAATCAGATGAATAATACGGTGACATTTGAAAGTATTAATGTAAGAATAGTTTTTCCTGGACTGCTACCATCTTCCCTTTCCTGTACAACTGTACAAAGAGTAAGTAGACGGGAGGTGTGACTACATTGGCATATTACAGCTCCAAAATGTAGGATGCATTACATTGATCAAAAGCAATAGTAAAGACTTTTACATTGTTACAAAAATCTAATAAATGAAAAAAGCAACAGCTGTTTTCAGCACTGTTATTAATAAGAAATCATTCTTGAATTTGATTTCTCGCATGTGACACTAAAGACTGGAGTAAAGGCTATTGAAAATTCAGCCTTGCCATCGAAGGAATAAAATAGTTTAAAATATATTAAAACAGAAAACAGTTCTTTTAAATTGTAATAATATTTCACAATATTACTGTTTTTTTACTGTATTTTTGATCAAATAAATATAGCCTTGGTAAGCATAAGACTTTTAAAAAATCACTTAACATTTAAAAATACTCCCAACTTTAAACTTTTGAATGGTAGTGTACTTGCCGTGTTTTAAAGGATTTTAAATGTGGAGTGTTGTGGAGGCCAATTGAATTATGAAATCAATTGCCTCCACAATTAATTATCGATCGATCGAGAGAGAGAGAGAGAGAGAGAGAGAGAGAGAAAAAGAAAGAGATGACAGTGGTGTGTGCTTTACCTGCATGCGTCACCACGTCTCTCTTTACAAACAATGAATTACTTCAAAAACAGCGTCACCTCGTTGCTGAGAAATATAATGTAGTGATCTAGTATCTAGGCTATTGTATTAATAAAAATCACTGGGAAGCGTTGACAACAAGTGTATGTGTGTGCACAGCACAATCTGCAATCTCCGACTCTCTCTCCTTCTCTCTCTCTCTGTGTGTGTGGGTTTGTGTGCATCAATTGAAGCAGTGCATTAATATAGAATGGTGATTAAACAGACTTAGAACTACCTGTGCATTAAATGGTTTTACTGCATACCTGCCAGCCAATCAGAATCAAGTATTCAGACAGACCATGAAGTAAATAGTAATATACAAACAATTATTCATTTTATTTGGTCAAACTTTATTTTAAGGTCCAATTCGCACTATTAACAAACCTTTTAATATGACATATGCCTCAATAAACTTCTAATTTGCAGTTTAATAATAGTTAGTAAGTAATGGGGAAGTCGTGGCCTAATGGTTAGAGTCGGACTCGTAACCTAAAGGTTGCGGGTTCGAGTCTCGTACCGGCAGGGATTGTAGGTTGGGGGAGTGAATGTACAGCGCTCTCTCCCACCTTCAATACCACTACTGAGGGGCCCTTGACCAAGGCACTGAACCCCCAACTGCTCCCCGGGCGCCGCAGCATAAATGGCTGCCCACTGCTCCGGGTGTGTGTTCACGGTGTGTGTGTGTTCACTGCTGTGTGTGTGCACTTTGGATGGGATAAATGCAGAGCACTAATTCCGAATATGGGTCACCATACTTGGCCACATGTCACGTCACTTTCACTTTTTAAGGTAGTTGATAAGTTTAGGTATTGGGTCAGATTAGTGTTTTAGAATATGCAAATAATATGCAAAATATGTGCTTTATATGTACAAATAAACAACCAATATGTTAATAATAGACATGCTAATAAGCAACTAGTTAAAAGTGAGAATTGGTCCCTACACTAAAGTGTTACCTTTTATTTTTGGGTTAATATAATGTTATATATAACTGTTTGCTGTCTGCAACATTCTGAACTGACACACTACTGAAGGGAAAAATATGATGCATTATTAGTAGCTGCATTTCATTTGGTACTTGTAAAAGCTTCATGCAGAGTTTACCTACCGGCTCAATGACTGCAGGTTCCCCTTTTTGCCCCTTTTCACCACCATAGCCACCACCAACCTACAACAGAGGCAAAACAAACTGAGATTTAATGACAGAGGAAGTACTACTCATGTAGACCAAACAACTGTAAAACAGCACATTAAGCACTACAACTAATGCCCAAAATGGACTGTATAACCCTATAAAGCCAAGTGGTGAACATGCTCAGTGATTACTGTGAGGATGATAAGATATGAAGTGTGAACTCCTTCATCTTTTCCTATAACGTCCACTTATAAGACCCACAGGGAAAGTCATTTGACAATATTTATACAGTCATTTAACACAAGTATTAAATCCAGCCCATTAGTGTGTCTGCATGTGTGTTTTGTATTTGTGGACCAGGATGATATATCTCTCCAGGAATGAAGAAAAGTAGCACAAAGCCACTGTGGTCAGTGTGTGTCTGTGTGAACGAGTGCTTGTGTTGAGCTGTGAAAATAAGTCTCAAGTCTTATAACAGATCAACACTGCAATCACACAGCTAACATTTCATTTCCTGTCTCCCACACACCGCAAGCAAAACGGCTACAATTGAGAGACTTTCATGTGTTGCTGTGTCAGCAGACATACTGAAACATAGTAAGGTTAATGGACATTATTCCTAGTAATTAGGAGCATTATAATTACAGTTATGTGGTTGCAATAATAATAATAATAATAATAAAAACATCCTTGACATTCTCTTGCCACACAATTGACTTGTTTTCAACATAAAGATGGAGAAGTCAACTCACATTGCTCTCTGTGACCTGTGTTTCAGCAGGTCGGCCCGGTCCAAACTCGCTCTCGTAGGTTGATCCGGTAGGTTTAGCTCCATTAGTATTGTAGTCATAGAACGAATCTTCATAAATGCTGGGGTCTACCTCTTTTGCATCATATTCGTTAATGTCGTATTCCTTAAAGTCCTGGTTTTCTGCACCATTAGTGCTTTTGGACTCCACAATATCCACATTCTCATTGGTGGCAACGGTGGGATCCACTCCAACTTCTTCTATCCCTGTAATGTAGTCGTCTACTATTTCTTCTTTTGGAGATGGATTCTGCCCAGCCCGGGGAGGCAGGAGGTCAGCGAATGAAGGAAACAGGGAGGTTAGTCAATGCAGACACCTTATCAAACTAATGAACTCATTTAATGAAGCTCTACAGGTGAAAATACAATTGCACTGGCAAAGAATAATTTTAAATGGGATCATTTTAGACATCCAGTAAGTAAAAAAATATGAAAAAATTCTGCGCCAATTAAGTAAAGCAAAAATAATGTGTTTATAATTGGGTGTGTAGATTCAATCAATAGAAGACAAATACAAAAACCCAAGGCAAACGATCTGCACACCAAACGAAATGCAAAGTTCAAGGTCCTTTGAACAAGAGTTTGTTCCTGAAGATTTACATAGAGGTGACAACAAAAACTAAAGTGCACAAAGTGCTCACTGAAGATAGTCCTGCCAGAACTGAAACGTTTGTTTTTTTGTATGTGCACTTTAGTTTTTGTTGTCACCTCTATGTAAATCTTCAGGAACAAACTCTAGTTCAAAGGACCTTGAACTTTGCATTTTGCTTGGTGTGCGGATTTTTTGCCTTGGGTTTTTGTATCATTTTAGATATGACAGTGTGTAATTGGTCTAATTTCTGTTATATGCCAAATATGATATGGCCTTACAAATGTACAATATATATTTAAAAATCAGCTTTGTTTGTCAATAAACTACATGTTAAAAATAAATTATTCATATCTATTTATATTATGTATTTATAATAATAATAGTAATAATAATTCATATTTGTTCATTAAAATATATATGAATGTCAGTATATAATTATACATTTTATATGCATAAACAAATTATAATTTTCAAATTATATGCCATTTAGTTTATGATATGGCCTTACAAATGTGCAATAGATATTTTAAAAAACTGCTTTCTTCGTCAATTAATTTAATGACATTTCAGTAAAAAATGGATTCGTTTCTTTTTATATTATCGATTTATACTACTACTAATAATAATTCATATTTGTTTCGTTTATATATATATATATATATATATATATATATATATATATATATATATATATATATATATATACCATACCACCTCAGCAGTGCCACAAACTGTTCAGCTCCATGCCACGCTGAATTGAGGCAGTAATTAAAGCAAAATGAGCCCCTACCAAGTATTGAGTACATGTACAGTAAATTAACATACTTTCCAGAAGGCCAACAATTCACTAAAAATGTTTTTTTATTGGTCTTATGAAGTATTCTAATTTGTTGAGATAGTGAATTGGTGGGTTTTTGTTAAATGTGAGCCAAAATCATCACAATTAAAAGAACCAAAGACTTAAACTACTTCAGTCTGTGTGCATTGAATTTATTTAATACACGAGTTTCACAATTTGAGTTGAATTTCTGAAATAAATGAACTTTTCCACGACATTCTAATTTATTGAGATGCACCTGTATAACATTCAATATTTTACCATCGCAGTGAATAGAAACTAAAAATCTGAATCGTTTTGGTAAATACAAATGACAAACCACAACAGCCTTGCATGTGATAATGCTGCACTGGTTTCATGTCTTACTTTGTACATCCTATGCCTTCCAACTTTTTTTTTTTATACTGGAAAACTATTTTGGCTTTAAGTCTGACAGCTTTCCTCACCCAGGGGCCTTTATGCAGTGAACAAAAGCACTTAAGATTTCTCTAGTTAATCCCAGCCTTTGTATTGTATACCAGGAGTGCTTTACGAGGCTGCGTCAGCCCATGTAGGTGTATCATTTGAAGCAGACGTTTGGCCATCACTAAATGCAAGACATATTGTTCCAGTTAAAGCTGGATGTTCTTCATTTAGACTTCATTTGTGCGATGTCTTAGAACAAACTGTGACAGAATCATCAAACTATTGAAATAACATAAATAAGGAAAATGCTATGATTTCACTGCTTTCTGCTGAACGTAAACTGTTACATGGAATAGTTTTTATTTGACTTTTACCCATAAAAGTTAGAAAAACACTCGGTAAAGAAAAAACACCTCAAATGTGGATGATTTTCTACTTTTCTCTCATAGCTTAGTAATAACATGATCTAAACATAGCAATTATTTACATTTATCAAAAAATAAGGTGCAAAATAATACTTATAAAAAAATAAGTATAAAGTCAGAAAAGCTTTACCAAAAGAATTCTATTTAAATAGAAACCCACTTAAAATAGACAATGGAAAATAAAAATTAGGAGCATTCAGATCTTTACCTCATTGGCTGGAATGATAACAGGAGGGGCTTCAGTGCCATAGTCCTGCTCAATATAGTAGTCTCCAGTGTCAGCAGTGCTGGGCTATATCACACAAGAGATTCATCACTCAGAATGAAGAAAAAAAATTATCTAATGTTGAGATGTGAATGTTCATTTATTGTTCATTTTAAAACAACTACTTATTCTTAGCCGTTCATATCCGAATTTGAAATATGAGCAGTTCAAGTGCAAGTAAAAGTTAGATTTGGCAAGTGAATAACAGCTGGCCGGTAACTTTATTAAATATTTCAACACAATAGTGGATGATTTAAATCACTCTGAAAGAAATCAAAATGTCTACAAATGGGGGGGGAAATCTCAGTGTAATATTTATAATCAAAAATTGATAGGATACATTGAGTTGCACTGTTTGTCTACATTTATTTTGTCTCTATGACAGTGGAATTATTTCTTGATAAACACAATATGAAATACAGTTTCATACATGGTCAATACATTTTCTCAAAATCTGCAGATCTAGCAAGAAGTTACATTCGGAGCCTGTATTTGAATGAAAGTGATGGCACATGAGGAGACTGAAAGGCAAAGTGACTGAGAGTAACAGAACAGTGGAGCGTGAGAGTTGGGGTAATAAATCAGAGACCACACAGTGTGGAAGTGGGCGGGCTGAAGAAAATCTCACAGTGATTGACATGCACCTGGGCCATACAGATGAGCAAGAGTGTTTACCTTGGTCTCAGTACCGACATTGTCAGTGGGATTTTCAGTGGCAGTCCCTTCTTCTGTGTAGTCATAGAACTCATTATAATCTGTGTATTCAGTATTGTACTGAGAGAAAGAGATGGTTGCATGTTAGAAAGAAAGAACTGAATTCAAATCCCTTACAGAGTACTCAAAACACATCTGAACACTTTTTGAATATCTGATATATATATAAAAAGTGTAAACAATAGATAAAATATTCAAATGCTTTTTGGGATCACTGTACAAAGGGGAAGATGCATTGTGGCATACATTATTGGCATATCACATATAATACAAATATAAAAATATAAATCATGCAAAATGTGCTTAGGTATGCCATTGACATGATGGGTGATCAGTGAACTACAAAACCCTTTTGTAGTTTAAGTATTTGAGAACTTTAATTTATTTGACCTTCCCATCCATTTAGACCATCAAATCAGTAATGTCAAAAGGCTTAGTTTGATTTGATGATTTACGTGACATATTTTTACACATAGGTATTTATCTAACTGTATCATTTAACAAATGGTTTTTCATTCAAAGCATTTTATGGTAGAAAAGCACACAATAAATGCTTCGAGCTCAACTGGGCCTCACTCATGAAACACAAGCAGAATGAATTTCTGAAACATTAAATTCCATAATCTGAATACAAATCTCATGAATGTCATGAATATAATAATGCAGTTTACTAGTGTAACTATCCAGTGCCATCCCTACTGGAGATTAAACCTGTAATCTTTTTCTTTATTTTTTTTTAGGATAACAAGCATTAACACTGTGCCCAAAATAAGCAATGAGTAACAGTAACATGTAATTAGAAAAAAGAGACATAAGTAAACAGTACAAAGTATTCTTGTCGCCAGTGAAAATGCACATAATGAAAATTCAACCTCTATAAAACATAAAAATGCACTTCAAATGTCAGATCATGTGGGTATGTGATAGTGAACATGCTAAAAAAAAAGTGTCTTAAAGGGTATTAAAATAATATAATAAGACTGCCTGCTAATGCTCTATTTTATATCATAATTTTGAGCCACGTGCCATATCACTGTAAAACACTCCACTGGTCCACTGGTATTCCACTGGTACTGTAGTTAAATGTTCAATATCCAAAGAAGAGAATAATTGATAATTACCAAAAAAAATAAGTAATATAGTTCAATATTGCCAATGATTGTTGGTATTACTGTACATTCTGGCACATTGATGCAGAACATATAGTAATGCCAAAATAAAATGAACTCAGCAATTAGCATGAAAATCCTGTGCTGATTTTTTTTGTGTAAAGTTAAACAGAGCTCATGGTATTCACCGTGTATGTTACACATGGCAGTTTGCAATTTATAATTAATTTATTGGATAATTCTGTTTCTTATAAAGCGTGCAAATTAAATGTTACACTCCTAAGCCACTTGCACACAAACGGTTTTTGAAAGTTGTTAAGCACTTAAATAGCAGTCAATTTAACAATTCAACAAAGAGCTATTGTTAAGTACTTCCCAATAATAAATGACTTGCGTTGTTTATGACAAATAAGCAATCATACACATATGTTTCCAATTCTCTGCTTGTTTTCCTCTCTAACTGTAATAAGGTGCGTGAGCATAAGGTGAGGTATAGTAGATTGTAGTGGTATAGCAAGTTATCAGGCATTCTGTGATGTGCCTTTGTCCATCAGAAAGGGATGAATTTAAGTCCCTATGCATCAGCTGAGCTAATAAAAATAACAGAGAAAAAAAGAACTGAGGCCTGCTGGACTGGTTGCATTCCACTGGCTGCAGAAGAGAAGCGAAAAAGAAGAAATATCCAGCTGCGAGTCAGTTTACGGCATTAAAGGGTCTTGCCAGGCTTGGAGCCTGCCATGGCTGTAGCCAGCGAGCTGGATGAAAGGCATAAATATCGTCCTGGGCCATTAAAAACGCGTCCCCGTTTCCCACACGTGTCTTAAAGCATTTGGTACGGCGCAGGGGAGCTCCTTGCAGGGGAAAAGAACAGGCCTGCGTCCAAAGTTCTCTGCTCTTCCTAAAAGATATAGATGTTAGGCTGCTGATGCTGGACTGAGTTACAGCACTAGTAAGTTAACACGGATTATAAAGCTATATATCATCTGCTTTTAAAAAGCTGACTATATAGTTGTTTAATTTGTTTTTACCTCTCTGCATTAATTCGCTGATTTCTCCATTGGTTTTGCTCTGGCATCTTCCACGATACGTGAAGCTACATTTTCCATCCACTGTTGTGGTGTAGTTCTCAATACCCCAAGCAGCCGTTACAGTGATTTATCATCATGTTACAATCAGGAGTTCTTTAACAGCTGAGAGACATAACTTCACTTTTCCAGGTATTCCAGAGTTAGCTGTGGAGGGAGAAACTAGGCTTTCCCAGCAAGCATGCAGGAGTCATTAAAGAAAAATATATTTCCACGCCACTCAAAAGTGGGCTCAGACTCTGTGGCAGGGGGAAAAATAGTTTCCACCGTGAGCTCATTGGTTATTCTATGAAATATTATTGGAAAACATTGAAGCACTGAAAAAGCTTAATATCAAAAACCAGACAAAACGCATTTGGGATTAGCTGAAAAGTTTAATCCCGCTAGATCACACTTGTGATTCACAATAGGTTTCGTAAGGACAGTTTGTTCTGACCTGCAGCTCTAATAAAACATTCTGTACCACAGTAAAAGACTGAATAATAGGGGTGGACATTTAAAATGTTTTTTTAGTTGTTTACTCTAACTCATAAAAAATTGAAATACTAACATTAGTATGACAAATGTGAATATATGTAAAACAAATTTTTGAATTATTTACAAATATAACAAAATATATTTGTAAATATATGGAGACCTTCCCTCACCTTGCCATCAAGTATCCACAGCGCCACCTAATGCATTTATTTGTAACACTGATATTTAGATGAGACATTTATTGGAAAAAATTTATTGGTCTTTCTGGATACAAGGATAAAGCACCAAAGGAAATCAATTTGAAGAGCTTGAACAGTGTTTTGACTAGAAAACTAGTTGTTGCACAACAAAAACCCAACTAGGAGATTACTTTTATATATCCCTACTGATGGATAATTCAGATATTTGGCAATGTTTTTGAATCCAGGCCTAAGAAAGCCCCAGACAGAAGCTGTGGGTGTAGACCGTATATAATCCATTAATACATCATCACACAACCACACACACAAACACACACACAACACACTCGTCTGGGTCAGATCCAGATATGTACTGACCTCTTCCTCAGGTTCCTGGGCCTGTGGTGTCTCTTGATGGGGTGTTTCACAGTCAGGGCTGTAGTGTTCACAGTAGTCATAGGCTGCACGAGCATCTGCCACCAAAAGAAGCTGCTGGATGTCTCCCTGAATGACATGACAGAGACATTTATCAGAAATACATTGGATGTCTATACATAAAAATTATATATGCCATTTCTATACAGACAGACAGACAGTTAGATAGATAGACAGACAGACAGACTGACAGACAGACAAATACGCACACAAACAGACTAACACAAAATAAATATCTGAGAAACCATTCATCATAATCTGGCACATAACAATGAACAGCTGCACACCGCAGAATCCATCTTTTGATATTGTACTAAATCAAATAAGCATGTGTCTATGTGTCACAGAGAACAATACGCTTGATAACATCGAAAGTATCTGCAGGGCATTGAGGATTAGCCTCTCTTTCTGTCATGAGCTTCTTTCTCAACCTCTCAAAATTTGCTCACAGACAGGAAGAAGGCAGACGTGCTGCTCAGCTGAAAAAACAAGGAAGAATGAAAGCGCTGTGCGAGCACACGTCGAAACGGCCACTAATCTGTGTCCCATTCAAAAAGCACTATTGTGCTCCACAGTGAGTCACATTTCACAGAGCGTCCTACGTTAAAGACTGAGGAATGGCAAGAAAAATAACCAGCACCCGTGCTGATGTGAAATATCTGAGCCGTCTGTTTTTCATAAAAATTTCGGGAAAGGAAATAAGATCCCTTCTCCCACCTCGACACAAAGGCCAAACAGCTCCGTGCACAAGCCGAACCCGAGGAATTCTTCAAGCGGGAACTGTCTGACTCTGCTGAGAATGTAAACTACTGCTGGAGAAACCGCAGAATACCTCTGCTGACCCGCGCAGACTTGGACCCCCCGTGCCATACTGATATAATGCATCGTAAATAGGTAAAAAAAAGTAAAAGAAGGGCAAAGGTAAATAAACACACAGATTTCTTTGATTTGATTGGCGTGTAAAGTCGAGTCAAGCGGGGTGGCCTGTGGAGGAGAATGCTAACATGCAGATGACATTAAATTACAGGGTCTACATCTGTAGGAGCTTAAGGCGCTGGAAGACATTTTATGGTACCAAAATGATGCTTCCTGCAAGCATGACCAATAAATCCTTGTACACACTGGAGAGCTCTGATATCCCTCTATACCACAAACATCTCATGATTAAGAACTAACACATGTTCAGGAGCCAAATGCATTTTAAATGCAACATCATATTTCAAAAAAAAGTTTTACAATTAATGTAGGTATAAGAAGAGGTGTTTTTCTCAAAAGCTGTGGCAGAAATTTCACAGATTTTCCCATACTGTAAAATCAGCACAGAAAATGTAGAAGTTAGCAAATTTTGCCTAGGCTTGGTCATCTTATCTCATCTAAGGCAATTGTTTTCAACCTTTGTACCAAGGACTCCCAAATATCATGATTACGAGAGACCGAATTCCTAAAATATGAAGACAGCAAGATATTTATATATGTATAAATATACAGTACATTTTTATTGTGTGAGAAAAATATTAAAGGGTTAGTTCACCCAAAAATTTAAATTGGGCCATAAATTACTCACCCTCAAGTCATCCTAGGTGTATATGACTTTCTTCATTCAGACAAATCCAGTCGGAGTTATATTAAATATTGTCTTTGATCTTTCAAGCTGTTTAACGCCACTCAGAGGGTGTTGCATGCATCAGTCCAAAAGAAGTTAAATAAAAAGCACCCATCCATAAAAAAAGTGTCTCACATGGCTCTGGGGGGTGAACAAAGGCCTCCTTTAGCGAATCGATGCGTTTTTGTAAGAAAAATATCCATATTCAAAACGTAATAATCACTTTAATGTAGCTTGCGCCAACAGTTGTACACGGAAGCAGCTCCGGGCTGATGACGTATGAGTTCAGTGCTGCGCATGCACCGGTGAGTCTTGTGAAAACCAACGTTTGTTAACAGGAGCAAAGGAAGCAAAGTTTCCTTACTTTAGCAAAGGAAAACCAGTCTCCCTTTTGGCTTATATCGAAATGCTCTGACATTCTTCTTTACAAATCCTCGTTTTGTACTTCTAATAAGTGATCGTTGTTTTGTTTTGATCTCTCCCCTGCGCTTCCGCATCCGTCACTTCTGAGCGGCGTATGCGCAAATCCGACCTCTTACGTCATGCTCCCGGAGCTGCTTCCATGTACAACTGTTGGCGCAAGCTACATTAAAGGGGTCATATGATGCGATTTCAATTTTTCCTTTCTCTTTGAAGTGTTACAAGCTTTTGGTGCATAAAGAAGATCTGTAAAGTTGCAAAGACTAAAGTCTCAAATCTAAAGAGATATTCTTTATAAAAGTTAAGAGTAAACTATGCCTACCTAAAACGCCTCATTCTAACACGCCCCCACATGTCTACGTCACGATGTGGGAAGACTTGCATAACGCCGCCCAAATGTTCACGCAAAGAAACTTTTACTACTTTACTACAGACTACTTTGTTTGGCCTTCCAAAAGATGACACGACTAGAAATCAGTGGTTAAGTTACTCTAGTTAAGTTATGCATTTTATGGTTATGTTGCTAAGTTATGCATTTTATGGAGGACTGTTTCCTGATTCTGGAAGAGTAGACTATAATTCTGGCTGTTCCGACTCACAGACTGTAAGTACGTTTTCATATTTAAAGGATTTACCACTAACGATTCAAACGCGCGGTTTGAGCAGGGAAGAGTAGTGCTTGCTGTTTGTCATTACTCCGATCACAAATGCAGACATGGTTTTATGTTTACGAGGCGTGATGCAACGCAACGCGTAAAAAGACAGTATAAGTTATTATAATCCATAATTATGTCCCTACTGGATGCAACAATTGCCTCGTTTTTTATAATGGGTTTTAATGTTTTTGTCTTGTCGCTCCGTCCGGGACACGCCATCACAGTATGGTAAGGGGCGTAACATTTCCGTCACACGCTTGAGGTATTCGGCCAATCACAACGCACTGGATAGCTGGCCAATCACAGCACACCTCGCTTTTCAGACCGATCGACGCGTTTCAGAAAGGCGGAGCATTGAATAGAAACAATAATGTACAGTATGTGGAAAATAATGTGTTTTCTGAACCTTAAACCACATAAACACATTTCATTGCACCAAATACACAAAATAATGTTATTTTTTTGATGCAGTGTTCACTTAAAGAGTGTCATTAAACAGCTTGAAAGATCAAAGACCATTTTTAATATAACTCCGACTGGATTCGTCTGAAAGAAGAAAGTCATATAGGATGACTTGAGGGTGAGTAAAGTATGGGCTAATTTCATTTTTGGGTGAACTACCATTTAACTGCAATACTATATAAATAACATGTTGCTTTGTATATTCATTAAATGATGTTTACATTGTGATTGTACTAAAGCAATTTTTTTTTTATATATTATCTTGAAAATTTTTATTTTATTTGTTATATTTCATCAATCCACTCTTCTATCCTAAAGATGGCAGCATAAATTTCTGTTAAAAAATAGGGTGGTCATGGTCAATAATAATAAATAACTGAAATTTATTACATGATGTCTGAGTTTAGACATTCTTTGGAAAACGATTTGAAACTGTAATATTAAATTCTGCACGTGTTAAATTACGGTGTTAAACATTTATGGTAATATCTTAACATGTTTAATGCAATAACACTAAACATTTTGTAATTTTTCTTTTTCAATAATAACTACTTTAGTTTAAGCTTAAGTACTAAAACAACACACTAAAACTGAAATAAAAATAAATTCAAGCTTAACAGAAATATAAAAAAATCTAAAACTAATAAAAATGACAAAAGCACATAAATTTACTCAATTTAAACTAAAATAAATGAAAACTAAAAATATTAAAATAAAAGCTATTTCAAAATATTATAATATATAAATAATACTAAAACAGCACAGCACTGGTGTCCCCTAAAAAAAAAAGGTACATAATGACACTCTTGATACATGAACACTGATATTCAGTGACCCCATTCAAACATAGTCAGACAAACCATTCAAACACACCTGACCTAGTTCAACATTAAGTCAAAAATGTGTTGGCCCACTACTGACATCCATCTCTGGCCAAGCACATCTCCCTTTTCAGCTTATTTTTAGTCTGAGTCCCATCCAATGACTCTCCATCACTGAACAGGAGTTGTTTTTCTAAGCGTCTGGCACATCTTCTTCCTCACTATTGAGAACATAGTTAATATACTAGCATGGCTCTGGACTAAACACTGACGGAAACAGGGAGATATAAATCTACTTTGAATATTTGAGCATCCATTGGGATTGCCCTGTTTTACAATGTCTGCTGAGTACTGTGTTAATTCATAACAGACACATTCTTTTCAAAGATAAAAACTCCTTGTACAGCACAGTGAGCTAATTTCAGATTCTGGAAATTAAATATTGAAAAAGAGGCCAAAAACTTCCAACAACAGATCGGTATCAAAATCCCCACCAGCTACTTGTTGTGGTTTGATTTTCTTCATGTGCGTCACCAGTCCACTCAAAATCTCTAAATGTATTAGTTACATGCTCTATTAAGTCTGTTCAGGCTTAGAATATAAAGAACATTCAAACTGGCAGGAATTGAATACAATCCAGGCTATAGATGTCAAAAGAACTGGTACTTACTGTTAATACCAAGTTAATACTTAGTTTTTTTAAAGCAATGGTTCCAGACTTTCAGCAGAAGTAGTACCATGTATTAACTCAATTTCAGTATTCAGTATCAATTTCAATTCCAAGTGCTTTCTGACTGACAGGCAGACAGATGGATACTTTCAAATGGCCAGCTAAAACAGTGTTAATGTATATACATTTATAGTTGTCTATAAATGTACACAGACAGGACAAAATAAAAAATCTAAAACTGCACCCTTAACCAATGCATTCTGAAAAGCTTCTTATACTCTTCCTTTAATTACAACAGCAACCTGTGGCGTTTGTCTATCCTGCTGTGGTAATAATAATATTCTCAAGTGTGCCTCAGGACATGAAGCAATTTTTTATAAGACTGTTCAGATCACTTCCACTTAATGACCAGCACAAAGAGTGCGGGAGTATTGAAC